GGCCCACGCCCTGGGACCCGGTGAACGGTGAGTGGAAGCTGCCTCCCACCCAGAGGAGCACGGCTTCCTGCACCCCCAGGAACCGGTCCCCCGGGGGGGTGGCCATCTCCCGTGAACGTGGCTGCAGCAGGGCCTGTACCCGCCAGGTTCCGGGGTGTTTGTCTCTCCCCCAAGTCCTGGGTCTCTCCTTTCTGTCTCTGTTTTAGCTGAGCTGCCTGCACGTGTTCGATGTTATAAGTCCGTTCTTGGATGTGGGTGGGGCATCCTCTATGAATAAATGCTAACCTGAGGCACCCTCCCTACACCCCACCCCCAACATGGACCGAGATTGACGCTCCACCCACTGAGCCACCCGGCCAGGGCGCCAGGCCTACGATGAGCCGCCTCTGGAGGCCCCCGTTACGGCTCCGCTCCCCGGCTTTCGTTTTGCACTTGCACGCACACTCCGCGTGCAGTGCTGCCAACAGGCTGCCCTTTGTTCTCGGGCGGTGAGGTGCGGTGCGTTCCTACGCTGCCCGGAACAGACCAGCAGACGGGCGGCTGGGCTGCTGTACACACGGGGGGGGGGGGGGGGGGGGGGGCGGGGGGGGGGCGACAGGCTTTGTTTCCGCTTACCAGACCCACCCTCCCCCAAGCCAATCGTAAAGCTCCACACGCCGTGACAGCAAACCCGCCCGCCACGCTGCCAGCCGGCTGAGGCCTCCACACAGCAGGTGCCTCACCGGCAGCCACAGTCCCCTGGGACCCAGCGGCCTCTGGTCAGACGATGATCCACCCGGTTCCCGCCCCGCGCTGGCTGACAGCGGTCTGCACCCCCCGTCTGTGTGTGTGCACAAGCGCACACGGCGTGCGGCTCCGCTCAGGGACCAGACAGACGGCAGGGTGGGCGCGATAATAGCTCCCCTCCCACCCCCGGGGTTTAAAGGCTGCGGGACCATGGCTGTGGGGCCCGGGGTGCCGGGAGCGAAGGGAGGCGGGAACCGGGGCGTCTGTCTCCTGCCAGGCCCGCCTGTCCTCTCACAGACTCAGCAACAGGCGGCACCCCAGCCGGGCCCCCCAGGCCAGCCAGAGCCTTCGGAACCATCTCCTTAGTAACAGGCGCGGATGCAGCTTAGCCATCACCGTTCCCGCTGAGAGCGCCTGGGGTTGGCGGCTAAGGCCTGCATCCACATCAGCACAGAGTGAGGGGTGCAGAGAGGGGGGTGCAGAGAGGGGGGTGCAGAGAGGGGGTGCAGAGTGAGGGGTGCAGAGTGAGGGGTGCAGAGAGGGGGGTGCAGAGTGAGGGGTGCAGAGAGGGGGGTGCAGAGTGAGGGGTGCAGAGTGAGGGGTGCAGAGTGAGGGGTGCAGAGTGAGGGGTGCAGAGAGGGGGGTGCAGAGTGAGGGGTGCAGAGTGAGGGGTGCAGAGTGAGGGGTGCAAGAGGGGGGTGCAGAGTGAGGGGTGCAGAGAGGGGGGTGCAGAGTGAGGGGTGCAGAGAGGGGGGTGCAGAGTGAGGGGTGCAGAGTGAGGGGTGCAGAGAGGGGGGTGCAGAGTGAGGGGTGCAGAGTGAGGGGTGCAGAGAGGGGGGTGCAGAGTGAGGGGTGCAGAGTGAGGGGTGCAGAGAGGGGGGTGCAGAGTGAGGGGTGCAGAGTGAGGGGTGCAGAGTGAGGGGTGCAGAGAGGGGGGTGCAGAGAGGGGGGTGCAGAGTGAGGGGTGCAGAGAGGAGGGTGCAGAGTGAGGGGTGCAGAGAGGGGGGTGCAGAGTGAGGGGTGCAGAGAGGGGGGTGCAGAGAGGGGGGTGCAGAGTGAGGGGTGCAGAGTGAGGGGTGCAGAGAGGGGGGTGCAGAGAGGGGGGTGCAGAGAGGGGGGTGCAGAGTGAGGGGTGCAGAGTGAGGGGTGCAGAGAGGGGGGTGCAGAGTGAGGGGTGCAGAGTGAGGGGTTGCAGAGTGGGGGGTGCAGAGAGGGGGGTGCAGAGTGAGGGGTGCAGAGTGAGGGGTGCAGAGAGGGGGTGCAGAGTGAGGGTGCAGAGTGAGGGGTGCAGAGTGAGGGGTGCAGAGAGGGGGGTGCAGAGAGGGGGGTGCAGAGTGAGGGGTGCAGAGTGAGGGGTGCAGAGAGGGGGGTGCAGAGTGAGGGGTGCAGAGTGAGGGGCAGGCAGGAGTTCGGGCCTCTCCAGGAACACATTCCCAACCTCCCTGGAAGCTGGGGGAGGGTTAGCAGGAGGGCTTGGAAGCCCAGGTGAGGAGGGGCTCGTAGGAGGGAGGCCATCCGGGCACCCCAGCTCCTGCCCCTAAGAGGCCCCCCCACTCCCCACACCGCTGGGGGCCTCCCCCGCCTCTCCCCCCGCCTGGATGCCGGCGGCTCCTGTCTCTGAGTCGAGACCCCGAGGGAGACCCCACGCCGCCCCTTCTCCCGTGTGTGCGGGTCTCTCTGCCCACTCTCCGCTCCTGCTCGGAGAGCTGAACCCCCGCCGACCCCGCTCGTCCCCGCCGACTAGCTGCCCCGCGCTGCCTACCTGGTGCCGGCGGGGCCCCCAGCATCGGACCGAGCCGCCCGGCCCCGCGCCGCGTCCCTCCTTCCCGGGCACCGGGCGCGCTTCGGGCGGGAGCAGGCGCGGCGGCCGTCGAGGCGGTTATATGGGGGCCGCGGGCGGGGGCGCCTTCGGGGGCCGGGGCGGGAGGAGCGCGGGGCGGCGGGACGGCCGGGCCTGGCTGTGCCGCGCGCTCCGCCCCCCCAGCTGGCCCGGCCGAGCAGGGGACCCGGTGCGCCCCGCCCCGCCTCGCCTCTTCCCGCCGCCTTCCCGCCGCCTTCCCGCCGCTGCTGGCGCGTGTCACCCCCGCGGAGCCGGGCCCAGGCTGTTGGAGGGCCGGGAGCGGGTCCGCCTGCGGGGAGACTCCGGCGGCTGGGGCGCGGGCAGGGACGCGGGAGCCGCGAGGGGAGCGGGGATGCCAACTCGGGGTCCCGCTGCCTCCCTCCCCGGACGCGGTCTCCCCGGCCCCCGGCCTCTCCTCTCCACCCCGGCCTCTCCCCGTCCCCCCCCCCCTCCCGTCCCCCCGCATCTCCACCCCGGCCTCTCCCCGGGCCCCGGCCTCTCCCCTACACCCCGACCTCTCCCCGGCCCCCGGCCTCCCCTCTCCACCCTGCAGCGCTGGCTCCTCCGTGCTCCGGGCGCCAGGAACCCACCGCCAGGGAAGCGCCTGTCGGAGGGGCCACCACCCCGTCCCCGGAGTGTCCTCCTGGCTGTGTCCGCCCGGCACGTGGTGCGGGGCGGGGGACCGGGTGCAGCCGCTCTCCTCTGGTGGCTCCAGCGGGGTCCTCGGCCAAGGAGGGGAGCCCCCCCCCCAAACACCGCCCAACGAACGGAGGTCAGGGCCACGCCGGCCGCGCGGCCTTGCGAACCCGCCGGGACCCTCGGGGCAGGGCTCCCCGCCCAGGCCCGCGCCCTCGGGGGGAGGTGTGGTCCAGAACCTGCGGGGAACTGGAGACACAAACGCTCCAGGCCGCCCCGCGCCGGCTCCCTCTCGGCCTCCGCCTCCGCCGGGGCGCCGTGTCCTTGCGGCGCTGGCACAGGGGCGCCCGCGTGTCCACGACAACGCGCGCGTCCCGCGCAGGGATCTGCTCTCCGCGCTCAGGGCGCCGGGGCCACGGCTGCCCGGGGCCGCGGCCGCACGTGGGCGCTTTCGGAGCGGCCACGGCGGCCCGCACCTGCCGTGCGCTGCCCGCTGGGCTCGGGCGCCCGGTCCCGCTCTCCGCGCCGAGGCTGCGCGGACCCTCGCGCCAGTGTCGCCCGTGGAGCCGCGCGCCAGCCGGGCTCCCAGGCCGGGTGCCCGCCGCGCGGGTCTGCGCCTCACTCACCGGCTGCTGGCGCGGCGGCGGGCACACGAGGACTTGCCCAGGGTGACGGCCGGGGAGACAAGCTAGGCCGGCCCCGTGAGCAGGCGGGTGCACGCATCCCCTACCGCTCCTTTGGGGAATTGGGGGGTGTGGAGGGCGCCCGCAGGGAGGGACTGGAGGGACCGGGAGAACGCGGGCGGTCTCGGCTATCAGAACCAGGTCAGGCCGGGGTCTGGGCGCAGGATCCGGCGGGCGCTGAGGTTCCTGCGGGCCTCACTGAGGTCCCGGCGGTCCAAAGGGGCGCGAGGACACGGCCCCCGCGCGCAGGGTGGGCAGCAGAGACCGCGCAGCCGGCGCCCACGCGGGTGCGCGCTCCGTGGTGCGGAGGGCGGGCGCGTCCCCTCGCTCTCCGCGCGGAGTGGGCGTCCAATTCGTTCACCCCGGATCTGGAGGGCATCGGACCGCGAGTGGGGGGGGCTCGCGGCGAGGGGGAGGCTCGCTGCAGGCGGGGAGCCTGATTTAGCAAAAAACAAACAAAACAAAAACGAGCCGAAACCGGTTTGGCTCAGTGGATAGAGCGTCGGTCTGCGGACTGGGGGGTCCCAGGTTCGATTCCGGTCAGGGGCATGTACATTGGCTGTGGGCACATCCCCAATGGGGGGTGTGCAGGAGGCAGCTGATCGATGTCTCTCTCATCGACGTTTCTGGCTCTCTGTCCCTCTTCCTTCCTTTCTGTGGAAAATCAATAAAATATATATATTAAAAAAAAACAAAACGAAAGTGCATGCACCATGTACAAAACATACGCACAGACACTATTATATATTGGCATACAATACATGTGTAAGAATAAAAACAGATGTAAATCTAAATACTCAGAACATAAGACGCCCGTGAAATGTAGATTTCAGATAAGCGGGTAATTTTTTAGTATATGTCCCCTGCAGTATATTTTAAAATAGTATAAAATAGAACTTATTTCACTAAAAACGACTCATTCTTTATCTGGAATTCAAATGTGAGTGCGTGTCCTGTGTTTTATTCGGCAGCCCTTGCTGGAGGGAGGCACCTCGCAAATCCCGCTTCGCGAGAAGGCGGGGAGGCGCCGGGAGAGCGAACTACAAGCCCCACAATGCTCCGCGGGTGCCCGGGCCCCGATAGGCTGTGGCGCGCTTCCCGCTCTCCGTCACTTCCGGGCGCGGTCCGGCGGTTGCGGCGGGCTCCGAGGGCTGTGCAGCGGGCTCCGGCGCGGCGGGCGGCTTCGCCATGAACTTCTCCGAGGTGTTCAAGCTGACCAGCCAGCTCTGCAAGTTCTCCCCGGACGGCAAGTACCTGGTGAGCGGCCGCGGGCAGGGCCGAGGTCGGGCCCTCCGTGGGGACCGCATAGGGGAGCGGAGGCGGGATGCGGGGCCCGGGGTGCAGCAGCTGGGGGCGGCAGGGGCGGGATGCGGGCCGGGGACCCGGGCAGGTGAGCTGGGCGCAGGGCCTGGTCACGTGCCGCAGACAGGTAACCTGGCGTTGGCTCTGGGCCGGGGGCCCGGACCGGTGCCCGCCTCCCGCGCCTGGGCGCCCACCTGCCCCGGCAGAGGGCAGCCTTGCTTTCTTCGCACACGGAGGACACGGCAGACAGCGGCTAGTGGTGGTTTTGCCACAGAAAAGCAGACACAGTTCTGCCTTCTGCAAGGGGACAGCCTTCCCAGCCCCCTTTGTGGTCTCACCATCTGCCCAGTCAGTGGTGCCACCAACTAGCACTGGTGTCCAGGTGACAGAGCTGCCTGCACTGCCGGGCGGGAGCCGATCATTCCCGGGGTGCAGAGGGGTGCCCGGGTCCCTGAGCTGTGCCGTGCATGACCAGCAGCCCCGGGGACAGATCCCTCAGACACAGTGTGCCTGTGGGGAGAGGGCCAGGGGCCCCTGGCTCTCGCGGCCGGAGCGGCCTCCATTGCCCGCTCCCTGAGGCCTCCATCGGGATTTCTGTCTTTAGATGCGATCAGCAGGGTGAGCAGTCCTGGGGGGACACGCTGTTTACACTGTCCTCTGGGCAAGTGCAGCCCGGGGTTAAGCGTAAGGATTCCAGCAACACCCGGGTCGGCCCGGGCTCAGACTTGTTTGGAAAGCCAAGGAAGAATCGGGCACCGCCTTCGACGCCCCCTCAGTCGCCCCTAAGTGGGGATTCCAACCAACAGGGCAGGTGCCTTCCCCACTCCCCTTTCACCAGAACGTCCTCCTCACAACTGCCCGGCCACGTGCCCCAGCAGCTCAGGTTTTCAGAGATGCCAGGAGGCCAGTGTGTGACCTCAGGATTGGGGGAGAGGCAGGTGTTTCAGGTGGGGGTTGGGAGGTATTTGTCATTGGAAAGCCTTTAAGAGAAAGAGTGTGCCCTTCCTCTCTGTAAAAAATCAAAACATCTTTAAAAAAAAAAAAATCCTCTCTCTTAAATACTGGAGAAGGTGAGGTCCATGTTGCCATATTTATTTATTTATTTATTTATTTTTGAAAATATATTTTATTGATTTTGTACAGAGAGGAAGGGAGAGAGATAGAGAGTTAGAAACATCGATGAGAGAGAGAGTCATCGATAAGCTGCCTCTTGCGCACCCCCTACTGGGGATATGCCCGCAACCAAGGTACATGCCCTTGACTGGAATCGAACCCGGGACCCTTCAGTCCCCAAGCCGATGCTCTATCCATTGAGCCAAACCAGTCTTGGCCATGATGCCATATTTAATATCTTTTTTTTTCCATATTTAATATCTTGCAACAGAATTGATACTATTTTTCCAAGATTTGGTACAAATGCTCCACCTCCTGGGGGAGTCATTGGGCACAGTATCCAAAGCTGCGGGTGGAAGGGGGACCCTGTGACACATTCTGTTCTAATCCGCAGCGACAACCCTCCTCCCTTTCCCTCCTTCTCCCTTTCCTACAGGAAACTGCGTGGCTGTTTTTCCCTAACGGATGCTCATAAAACACAGATGAGTTATCTGATTTGACCTTCATTTTTACCTGCAAAAATGAAGTAACTAGCCGAAACCGGTTTGGCTCAGTGGATAGATCATCGGCCTGCGGACTGAGGGGTCCCGGGTTCGATTCTGGTCAAGGGCATGTACCTTGGTTGCGGGCATGTCTCCAGTGGGGGGTGTGCAGGAGGCAGCTGATCGATGACTCTCTCTCTCATTGATGTTTCTGACTATTTCTCTCCCTTCCTCTGTAAAAAATCAGTAAAAATATATTTTTTAAAAGAACTGAAGTAACTAACCGTTAGAAACGGGTTCCTGGCCTTCACACTGCCATGCAGTCTGCAGTCAGCTCCGTGTGCTCTAAGCAGTTACTTGCTCAGCTGTGGCTGCTGACCCGGACACGAGCCTGTCAGGAAGCAGCGTGGACACGCGCATTTCCTAGGCAGGGCCAGGGGTAAGTGCCCTCCTTACCATCGCCACGACGACTACACCGCGTCATTTCTGGTCCCCAGACGTGTGGCTTTCCCCGCCGAGCAGTTCTGTGCCACCAGCCGGCCGGCCTGCCAGGACCTCAGTCTGCCCGTCTCCCTGGAGCAGATCCCAAGGGCAGGGCTCAGTCCCACGAGACTGCTCCTCAGCCGCGGGGCCTGGGCGGCGGGTGCCCACAGCTTCTGTCCGATCCGGCCGCAGGGAGCTTCCCACCACCCCTTCCTCGGGTTCGATTCACTCGCTGCCGCGCACAGGACTGGGGGCACGCTGACTTCCTTTCCAGCTCCTGAAGGCTGTGGTGGGGGTGGTGCCAGCCCGCCGAGGAAGGCACAGGGCAAGGCAGGGGGGCGGGGGGGCGGGCCCGGTGCAGGAGTCTGTCCCTGTGGGCCGGGCGCCACCCTCCCCACGTGATGTGTGTCCCCCCGAAGCTCTCCCGGAGGTCTGGTCTGCCGTTCTCTCCATTTGCAGCCCTTCTCCCTCCCAAGGGATGGGGTGTGGGGCTGAAATTCCAAACTCCTGTGACCAGCCTCACGCAGGGCCCTCCAGGAGGCCCCTCCCCCGAGGCCCCTGGTAGAACAGAAGAGGCCCCTGTCACCCAGGAAGTTACAAGGGTCCCGGGAGCATGTGCCGGGACCTGGGGCAGACGGGGTTCAGTGCCTTTGGCTCGCGGCATTGGCAGAGTACTGAGCACTTGGGAAGCGCCCTGAGGTCTGTGGGAACCACAGCACGTACATTGACTTTCTGCTGGTGCGGCTCAGACTGAGGCTCAGGGCAGGGGGAGCTGGCATTCCTGTGGTCACTGCCACCCGCAGCCGTGAGCCCGGGCCTACAGATGGTCTGCAGGTGACCGGCAGGCGAGGTGCAGCTCACGCAGAGCCTTCTCTGGTGCGTTTCCTCCTCACGTGTAGTTCTGTGGTGCCGGTAAGAAAGGAGCAGGCAAGCCCCAATCGGTGTGGTTCAGTGGGTAGAGCACTGGCCTGTGGACTGAAGGGGTCCCAGGGTTTATTCCGGTCAGGGCGCGTGCCTGGGTGTGGGCTCGGTCCCCACGTGGAGCGTGCAGGAGGCAGCTGTTCGGTGATTCTCTGTCATCATTGATGTTTCTGTCTCCCCCCCCCCTTCCTCTCTGAAACCAATAAAAAATATGTATATTATAAAAAAATAGGAAAGGAGCAGATAATTACTTCAGTAGAGAGTGTTAAAATGTTACTTTATGCTGAAATATAACCCTTTTAACATCTGGTTTGTGTATTTCAACTCATCTTTTCATTGACAGTTTCAGAATGGGCCGTATACTTGGGGGTAAGCATGGAACCGTCTAGATAGAAAGCGAGTCAGAGAGGAGAGAGGCGCAGGGCTCCCCATGTGGGCGGGCCCTGTGCGGAGCCTGGGGCACGGATGACACCCCCTCTCCTGCCAGGCCTCCTGCGCGCAGTACCGCCTGGTGGTGCGCGAGGTGCGCAGCCTGCAGGTCCTCCAGCTGTTCACCTGCCTGGACCAGGTGCAGCACCTGGAGTGGTCGGCCGACTCCCTCTTCATCCTGTGTGCCATGTACAAGCGGGGGCTGGTGCAGGTAGGCGGCCGCTAGGCCTGGGGAGCCATGCGACACCCCAACACCCCCCCCCCCCTTCCGGCCTGAGAGAAAGGCCTCGGAGCCGCTCCCTGCGAATCGGGAATTGGGCCGTCTCTCCGAGCTCAGGTCCTTCCAAAATGGAAACCCTGAGTGCTCTTTTCGTGAAGATTCGCCTTTGTTGTTGGGAGGGTTGCAGATGTCCCCTTCGTTGGCTGTTTTTCCCATTGGCCTCGCCGCCCGCCCCGCCCTCCTGCGGGGAAATACTCCCCCCGGACCTGGGACCAGCGGAGGGGACCAGGCCAGCCGCGGGAGCGGGCTTGGGAGGCACTGAGATGGTTTTGTTTCCGAGCTCAGCCAGGGAGGCGTCCACCAGCCACCTCCCTCCAAGGGTGGGGATTGGGGTGCCCCGGCCGCCCAGCGTGGAGAGGGTGGGACAGCGTCCCGTGTCTTGACTCTGCAGTGGCCTTAGGCTCAGTGCCGCCTGGTGGGTTTGCGACCGCGTGTCTCCTGGACCAGGTGTGGTCGCTGGAGCAGCCCGAGTGGCACTGCCGGATCGACGAGGGCTCCGCGGGGCTGGTGGCCTCCTGCTGGAGCCCCGACGGGCGCCACATCCTCAACACCACGGAGTTCCACGTGAGTGACCCCCCCCCCTCCCCTCCACCCCTGTCCCCGTCCCCGTCCCCGCCCCCCGCAGTCCCCGCAGCCCCGAGCGCGCCTCCTGCGCGCCTGAGCCCTGGGCGCTCCGGGGAGCTGGGCCTTGGGGGTATTTATTCAGTCGTCAGAGCGCGGCCAGCCCCTGGGGCAGTGGCTCTCCACCTCCCTGATGCCGCGGCCCCTCATACAGCTCCTCGTGGTGGTGACCCCCAACCAGAACATTAATTCTGTCGCTGCTTCCCAACTGTGATTTTGCTAGTTACGAAGTGTAATGTAAATATCTGTTTTCCGATGGTCTCAGGCTCCACAGCAGCGGTTCTCAACCTGTGGGTGTGGACAGGGTCACCTAAGACCATCGGAAAATACAGATATTTACATTATGATTCATTAACAGTAACAAAATCAGTTAGGAAGTAGCAATAAAATAATTTTATCTCCAGTTAAAAAATAACTTTATAGCCAGTTACAGCCGCATCACCCAGACAGGTGGGCAGGCGGGCGAGGCAGGCGGGTGAGGCAGGAGACACGTGAGAGGTGCTGCCCCCTGGGCTCAGAGGCTCGTTCTGTAACGTGACGTGTCTCTCCCCCCGCCTCCCCCTCCCCCCGCAGCTGCGGATCACGGTCTGGTCCCTGTGCACCAAGTCCGTCTCGTACATCAAGTACCCGAAGGCCTGCCAGCAGGGTGAGTGGCGGAGTGCGGGGCCGGCTCTCCATCGCGGGAAATGTCCACCTCGGGCTGAAGGCCGCCTGGTCGGTGTCCGCCCCAGCCGCTCTGTCTCCTGGGCCCACCGGCGATCACGCTGTCTCCCCGCAGGTGGCTCTGAAGCCTGTCCCCCTCCGAGTGTCCGTCTGTGAATAATGTTTCCCGGCCTCCAGAGAGAGGCCCCTTCCAGCGCCCCAGGGCGAGGAGCCTGGGAGGCGGCAGGCACGGTGGTCCGTGGCCTCCCGCCCCGCCTGGGGGGAGGGCCCACTTCACACTGCGGGCTCTGACCCCGGAACCCCGGTCTCCTGCTGGCTCTGTGGTCTCTGTCCAGGGACATGTGACCTGCCCCAGCTGGACATCCCAGAGGAGGGCTGAGTCGGGGTGGCCACTGGCCATCGGGGAGCGGGTGGGGCAGACACCTGGCGCTGAGATGTGGGTGGGCGTCCCGCTCAGCGCAGCGACAGTGACGTGTCTGCCACGTGATCGGGGGTGGGGGGGGGGCGTCTCGTAACGATGGGCCCCCGCTCTGTGGCCTCGGCGGTTGGGAGCTCGTGTTGGAACGCAGGGCCGTTGTCCATTGGTCATTTACTTCCGGTTTGGAAGTAGGTGTCTCCCCGGCCGTGTGAGCATTTCCCGGCAGAGACGACCCTCCCGCTCAGGCCACGGGAAGGGGACCTGGGCACTGTCGGCACCGTCCCAGGGAAATGCCTGCCTCGGTTCCAGAGTCTTAGCTCGAAGCTCCTTCCTCCAAAGGACCGGGTTCAGGAGGGACAGGCTGACGCCATGGCTGAGAGCCCCGCGGTCTGTCCGGAAGCCAGGACAGTCCCGGGCTGCTGGTCAGCGGGCAGGCTGCCTCGTCTCCCCGGGCCCCGCGCTGGCGTGTCCGCGTCTCCCCGGGCCCCGCGCTGGCGTGTCTGCCCGGGGCTGCTGGTCAGCGGGCAGGCTGCTGCGTCTCCCCGGGCCCCGCGCTGGCGTGTCTGCCCGGGGCTGCGGGTCAGCGGGCAGGCTGCCGCGTCTCCCCGGGCCCCGCGCTGGCGTGTTCGTGTCTCCCGGGGCCCCGCGCTGGCGTGTCCCTGTCTCCCGGGGCCCCGCGCTGGCGTGTCTGCCCGGGGCTGCGGGTCAGCGGGCAGGCTGCCGCGTCTCCCCGGGCCCCGTGCTGGCGGGTCTGCCCAGGCTGTGCCTCTTCCTTGAAACCACCGGCATGCCACCGTGTCTGGCCCCTGGGTCCAGCCAGCCCTCTCCTCTCCGGGCAGGAATCTCCTTCTCCCGGGACGGCCGCTACCTGGCCCTGGCAGAGAGGCGGGACTGCAAGGACTACGTCAGCATCTTCGTCTGCAGCGACTGGCAGCTGCTGCGGGTGAGCACTCTGTCCAGACCCTGTCCTCCGGCTCCCGCCCAGCGGGGTCCTGGGAGACAGGACTCCCGGCTCCGAGGGTGCGTGCTGCCTGCGACGCCACCGAGGCCCGTGGGTGAAGCGCCCGGGAGCCGTGGTGGGGCTGGTGCGGCCGGGCGCTGAGCAGATTGCCGGCCAACGGGAGCCCTTCCCCTTCCTGCAGTCCCATGGCACGTGTCCCGTCAGGCGGGGTGTGGGCTGAGCCTGACTCGGCCTCCCCTGGGCCCGGGGCTCAGCGGTGCTCCCTGCTGCAGGCGGGAGACAGGCAGGCTAGCACAGAACCCTCTGGAACGCCCTCAGAGCTCAGGGAGGCCTCCAGCGGGGAGAGGGGTGCACAGGTGGAGCCGCACCAGAAGCGGCAGTGCTGTCGGGCGGCCAGGCCGCGCCCCTGAACCTTCGGACACTCAGGCACATGACAGCCGGGAAGGACGGTGGCAGCCTCCGCCCGGCGCTGTCTCAGGAAAGCACCCACTGGGCGCGCAAGCAGCATCGGCTGCACAACAGGCACACGTCCGTCCGACCGTCGGTTCCCACGTGACCTGCTTCTCCCCTTCCATGGCAGCACTTCGACACGGACACCCAGGACCTCGCCGGCATCGAGTGGGCCCCCAACGGCTGCGTCCTGGCGGTGTGGGACACCTGCCTGGAGGTAGGAGGGGCTTCGCATGTCCGTCCGAAGCTTCCTCTGCTGCGGTGCTGACAGCCGGTCCCGCCCGCAGCCTCACCGCTGTCTGGTTACCGCTCCCCCCGCCCTCGCCCCCACCTGCCCAGGTGTGCCCGCCGGCTCTGGGCGCTCAGCTAACGGGCGCCCCTCTCGCCTGCAGTACAAGGTCCTGCTCTACTCCCTGGACGGCCGGCAGCTGGCCGCATACTGTGCGTACGAGTGGTCGTTGGGCGTCAAGTCGGTGGCCTGGAGCCCCAGCAGCCAGTTCCTGGCCGTCGGGAGCTACGACGGGAAGGTGGGCAGGGCGCCCCTGTGGGAGCCCAGGACGGCCCGGGGGCGGGTGTCCCCACGCCGTGGTCTCACGTGGCCCTCCCTCAGGTGCGCATCCTCAACCACGTGACCTGGAAGATGCTCACCGAGTTCGCGCACCCCGCGGCCATCAGTGACCCGCGCGTGGTAAGCCGTGCCCGTCTCCATGGGGCGGCGCTGGGGGCGGTGAGGCCGCGATGCAGGAGCTCCATCATCGCCAGAGGGCGGGATGGCCACGGACTCGCTGCCGGGCGTTTTCCTGCCTGCGCGCTGGCTGGCGCCAGGCGGTGCCTGGCCCTGCGTTCCCCCCAGATGGCTCATCTCTGATCTGCGCCTGCCTGTCCGGCCTCCTGCCCGCCACACAGAGCCGCCGAGCCCCGCCGGTGGAGGGCGAGGGCTGGGGAGCTGGTGGCTCCCAGGGTGGGTGGGACGCTGCCACTGAGGGACGGGGCAGAGCGGGACGTGGTGCAGGATGGGGAGCAGTGTGCCAGGCAGCGGGCGGGCAGTGCCCAGACACTGAGGTGGGACGGTGCCGGGGGGAGGGGAGGCAGTGGGGACACAGCCGGTCTGGGGAGCTCCGAGCCTTCATGCCGGGAGGTGCTCACGCTTGCTAACAGGCTGAGGGGATGTGGAGCTGTCCCCCATCAGACCTTCGTGGTTTTTTTTTTTTTAATGTAATTTTTTAAATATATATTTTATTGATTTTAGAGAGGAAGGGAGAGAGACAGAAACATTAATGATGAGAAGGAACCATTGATCGGCTGCTTCCTGCACACCCCCTACTGGGTGTCGAGTCTACAACCCAGGCATGTGCCCGTGGCTGGAATTGAACCTGGGACCTTTTAGTCCACAGTCTGATGCTCTATCCACTGAGCCACACCAGCCAGGGCCAGACCTTCGTGCCTGGGGGGCTTTCAGGGCCCACACAGACCCCGAGGGAGCAGCAGCAGCAGCACTGCCGTCCCTGTCTTGCAGGTGGTGTACAAGGAAGCGGAGAAGAGCCCGCGGGGGGCGCTGGGCCGGCCCGCCTGCCCGTCCTTCAGGGCCGCCGAGAGCAAGTGTGAGCCTCCTTGTTTGTGGAAGGGGCTCCCTGCCCCGCACTCGTCAGAGGCCCCTCCTGCCCGGCGCCTCCCGAGCAGCGGGGTCCTTCCCGGGGGCGTGGATTCTGTTGGCAGACGTCAGCCCTGGAGTCCGCTTTGAGGGCAGAGGGCCTTGTTCCATTGAGAGTGGAACTCCCTGGGCAGCCGAGGTCAGGAGTGGCCGCGGGAAAGGCTGGCGGGCTGGCGTGCATCCTGGCTGCGGGCCTGGGTCTCCTCGGTGACCTGGCATCAGGCCCACTTTGAGGGGAGCCCAGAACGCAGCCCTGGGCACTGACGGTCACCAGGCACACAGCGCGCTGCCCACGCCCCATCAGCATCTCACGCTTCTGGTCTTGTCCTCCTCTTTCCCCTCGACGATCTTTTTAGCAGCTTTTAGGGGAGGTACAGGTGTGCCCCATCCACACACTCAGCACCCCCATGGGGGCATTTGTCACAGCGGGTGACCCTGAATTGACATGAGCCTAATGTAGCACCCCATGTTGTCACTTCCCTGAACATTGTCCCACACGCCCTTTCTCCTCTGAGAAGTCTACAGCGGGGCGCAGGCTGAGGCACGGTCTGGGGGAGACGGTGGGGGGGCCTGGGAGGAGCAGGAAAGGGCAGGCCCGTGCTGGGCCGGTGCCCCCAGGGCCTCACAGCCAGTGCCCCGGCCCTTCTGTCCCCCATGCTTTGCCTGATGCTTTCAAGGTCACGTAACCTCTTCCTGTTTAAACCGAGCAGCGGGGTCCGAGGCCCCGCCCGGGCGGGCAGGATCGCGGACCCTGCGGCGAGACGTGTACGCGTGCCGTGCTGAGGGGTCTCGTGTTCTAGATGAGATCGCCGCGGTGCCGGTGTCCCTGCAGACGCTGAAGCCCGCTGCCGACCGAGCAAACCCCAAGATCGGCGTCGGCCTGCTGGCCTTCAGTCCCGACAGCTACTTCCTGGCCACGAGGAACGGTGAGCGCTGCGCCCACGCTGGGCTGCGCCCGCTCACTGCCCACGGGGCCGGGCACCAGCCGTTTGAAAGGAGTGTCAGCTGACAGGCCCGCCCGCGGCGTCCTCCCACGTGCTGCCGAAAGGCGGGCTCTCCCCAGGGGCTGGGGCAGGCTGCACCGCCCTGCCAAGCGCCTCTGCACCTGCCCAGTGCCTCCCTGCACGCGCTCCGTCCTGGTGGACAGGGACCCAGGCCCCGCGACAGCCCCGCCTCTTCCTCTAAGGGCTGTTAAGCCAACACATGCCCGTGCAGCCGGTCAGCCTGAGGGAGAGACGGGAGGCCCTCGGACCTGGGAGCATGACGCGCCCCTCATCCCCCCACCCCGGGGCTGGTGTGCAGTGTGGAGACCAGGGCCCACGTCCAGGCTGGCGGGCGGAAGCAGGCGGGGGGCGGCGCCGTTTGATGTGGACCTGTCTTCCCTCAGACAACGTCCCGAACGCCGTGTGGGTGTGGGACATGCAGAAGCTGCGGCTGTTCGTGGTGCTGGAGCAGCTGGGCCCCGTGCGCTCCTTCCAGTGGGACCCGCAGCGGCCCCGGCTGGCCATCTGCTCGGGAGGCAGCAAGGTGTACCTGTGGTCGCCGGCGGGCTGCGTGTCTGTGCAGGTGCCCGGGGAAGGTGAGCGGACTCGGGGCCCGAGGCTCTGGGCTCTGGAGGGAGGCCCTGCCAGGTTGAGGCGGTTTGTTTTGGGCTCCAGCTGGGTCCCTGCCCCATCCCCGCCCCCACAGGCTGCGGGCTGCTCCCCGGGGACCTGGCCTCCTGCCCTAACCCTCGGCCACGTCCCCTCCAGGGGACTTCCAGGTCCTCTCTCTGTGCTGGCACGTCACGGGGGCCTCGCTGGCCCTGCTCAGCAAGGACCACTTCTGCCTGTGCTTCCTGGAGACGGAGGACGAGGCTGACGGCGCCATCGGGCAGCTGGGCGCCCACACGTAGGACGAGTGGCGGCTGTGGGAAGGGGAGCAGACGCGGTGCCGTGTGGGGAGCGAGCTTGGGGCAGGTCTCGGGCCCCGTGGTTCCTGTAAATATGTACGGTGTAAAGCGAGGCGTTCCTGTAAATACGTATGGTGTAAAGCTGTAGTTTTGTAATTTAAATGTTTGCTATTTCATAAAGGCTGGCTGGCTTTCTTGGAGGGCTTGGTCACGGAGAGTTCTAGGTTCCGTGTCAGGAGAAGCACTGAGCCCCCAGCAGCCGTCCTCCCGGGAGAGACGGTGCTGGCTCCAGGAAGGAGCCTGGGGCCCTGGAGGGTGAGCCACAAGGCGGGCGGTGAAGGTCAGCCCCACCTGCTGAGTGGGTCTTGGGGGAGTTTCCGCCCTGGCCATGGCCCTGAACCACCGCACGGGCAGCTGGTGGGGGGAGGGGCCCCGAGCGCCCGTCACCCTGCCAGCCAGGGCCACTCCCCCGGGGACAGCAGTTTGGGCCTCGGAATGCACCCACGAGAGGGGGACCGGCTCGGTTGCTGCACCTGTCTCAATAACTTCAGAAAAGGAACGCACCCAGTCGGTTCTAAATGCCTTTACTACCTGAACCAGAGGCTTGGGGCCGGCTGTGCGGGCAGCCTGCCCAGCGAGGCGCTGTGTCTGGGTCCGTCCACCCGCCCAGGGCTGGGAGTGAGGAGGGACGGCCAGCCCGTGCAGTACAAGCACATCAGGTGTCCAGTCCCAGCGGCGTAGGGCCTGCGCGGGGCGGCGGGCTCCCTGGGTGCGAGGCCGGGAGACCCTGGCGAAGCCTATATCTGGGAGCTGCTGCGTGAGAACACGGTTCCTCACTGAAGCGCGTTCTTTAAAAGCAAAGGAAGCGCTTCCCTTTTCAGACACAAACGTGACAAACGCAGAGTGCAGCAGCTGTCCCCGTGGGCAGGCTGCTCGGGCGTCTCATCGGGAGCGGCCTGCAGGGACGGCAGCGTCGGGCCAGGGGTGCAGTCAGCCCCACCAGACACCACGCCAGCTGTCCGCCTGGGAGAGGCGGGCTGCGGGCTGCTCTGTCTTTCGCTTTAAAGCGCGGTCACGTGCCCGCGCACCAGGCTGGACACAGTGTAACTGACTTGTGACGCAGGCACTGGGGTGAGGTGCCCCCGGTGACGCTGCCCAGCTCGGCCAGCGGACGCTCGTGCAACCACAGGACGTTTATTGGCAGGCAGGGGCAGTGGGGGCGGGGATGGGGAGGCCCAAGGAGGCTCCCGGAGGTGGCAGCAGCCAGCAGGGACAGCTGCGTGCAGTCCAGCCTATCCAGTGTGTGACCACGTGACCACACCCACCTCAAGGATACAAGTCACGTGACTGTGTCGTAACCCCACTCAGACCCGTATAGGGAGGACCTGGCCCGCAGGCCGAGCTGGCCCCCGGCCGCGCCGATCCGGCCACCGGCTCTCCGAGGCGCCGCAGCCTAGAATCCGATCTTGCCCCTGGTCATGGAATAGCCCAGCTTTGCCTCGTTGTTGATGAAGGACATGAGCCCCACGTAGGTCTCGATGAGGAGTGGCTGCTCCAGGACCAGCACGCTGGTGGCCTGTCCCGGCTGGGGACTCTCCTTCTGGGCTTTCTTGACAGCTTGGATCAGCAGGGACTTGAAGCTCTCCAACTGGAAAAAGAGAACAGCTGACGAGAGTGAGCCGTGAAAGGAAGCCGCCAGCCCAGCCCCTACCATGGCTCCGTGGGCTCTGGAAGCCTCGGTCACAGCTGTGCTCACTGCTGGGCGACTGCCAGCCGGAGCCTCGCTCTCCACAGGCCTGAGCGGCTTAGCCACAGGAGCCACCGACCCTCACGCCACGCTGGTGGGCACCCTGCCCGGGCACGGCGCTGCCCTCACCACTGGCCAGGCCTCCGGTGATGAGCAGGCACCCTGCCCGGGCGCGGCGCTGCCCTCACCACTGGCCAGGCCCCCGGTGATGAGCAGGCAGCCTGCCTGGCGCGGCCACAGGCGGGTCAGCTGCCCTGCCCAAAGCCCTCTGGGCCCCCTTCCGAGACCTTATGAAGTGGGCGTGGCCAGTGGCTGCCAGTCACATGGGACACAAAGCCCTAAGTCAGCCGACATTACTGAAAATGAGGAGCATGTTTCTTGTCTTGCTACCCACTCTAAGCTCAGCAGCCACATGCAGCTGCCACAACGGGCAGGGCAGGCCTAGACCCCCGCCACTCACTCACTCACTCACTCACACACACACACCCTGCCGGGCGCTGCGGCCACAGGCTCTTACTTGGCACAGAGAGGCCGTCTTCTCGTCCGCACCGGCCATCGGATGCTCCACGAACGTGGCGTAGGGCATGCTGGTGGACCAGGGGTTCCACCTGTGTATGAAGGAGGCGCGGCTCTGCTTGTCCCACTGAATCCGGATGCCCTGGCCTTCTCGCCTGCGGGGGGAGAACGGTCCGGCCTCATTAGCGGCTCATTTGTGGCTGAAGAAGGCCTCGGTCTCGGGAGTGAGCAGCCTCCAGAGGAGCCGTTTCACACCCGCTGGCCGGTCACTGGACTCTCGTGTCTGCGCTCACATTCACTCAATAGTCCGTGCTTTCTGAGAAACAGAATGAGGGGGCAGTAATGACTAAGGTGTGGCGGGCCACGGGCCCATACAGAGGGGCTGACTGCGAGGGACACCTAATGTAGGTCCTTCAGCCGACCAGGCACCTGGCTAGCGCCCGCAGCTCCCTTCCTGAGCTCCGCCCTGCAGACCTCCCTCGGAGCGCTACCATCGAGGGTCACCCAGTGGCCCAGACTCCTGCCTGGTGGCTCAGGTTTTCGGAAACCGCTCCAGCGCGAGGATCAGCTCCTCTGGGAGCCGGCAGAGCGCGGGCAGCAGAGCTCCTTGAGGAAAACGCTGCCTGACCCCCCAGCCCAGCAGCCGTTTTGGTGCCAGAATTCCTTTAGGGCCGCGGCGGCCCAGAAGGCCCTGGGGCTGGGCCCCGCGGACACTCACTTGTTGAGCGACTTCGGGGGGAACTGGAACTGCCCGCAGGAGATGGTGTCCACAGCGCGGAGGGCGATGCGCACCACCTGCAGGCACTGCAGCGCGATGAAGTCGTACTTGCAGATGAGCAGCGACTGGTCGGTGACGAGCACCAGCCGCTCCTTCTCGTTGTTCCAGTGGTCCACCCTGTGGGGGCACCCGCCGGCCGTCACCCCCCACCGGCTGTCACCCCGTCACCCCCCCACCGCCCCGCGCCCCGCGCCCCCCGCCCCGCCCGGCGCCCCGCTTACTCCGTCAGCAGCCACACCCCCTGGATGTCGCCGTCCTCCACCGGCCGGACCACCACGCGGATCTCGTCCACCGCCTGCTCGATGGTGCCGGGCTGCGGCAGGCACAGGGCGGGGGTCAGCCTCTGCCCGCCGCTGCCGCTGCCGCTCCCGCCCGGCCGCCCGGGCCCCGCCTCACCCGGAACACGAAGTACTCCTTGACGCGGGCGCGGCGCGTGGGTCGTGGACGCTGAGCGGCCACAGCGTCTGCCGCAGCGGCGGGTCCGGCCGCCCCCCGCCCGCGCCGCCCTCCTCGCCGGTCGCCAGCACCGCCGTGGGCTCGTGCCCGCCGAGTCCACCGAGTCCCGCAGCTGCAACATCGCCGCGGCCGCCGCGCACCCGACCCGGGCCGGATCCGGACGCCGCCGCCCGTCCGGCCTCCACCCAGCCTACCCGTCCTGTCCCGCCCCGCCCCCTGGGCCGCCGCAATTGGCTCCGCCTCTCAAGCCCCGCCTCGGGCTCCGCCCCCTCCGGTCCCCGCGATTGGCTCTTCGCCATCCGCCTTCCGCGATTGGCTCGGCCCGCCGCTGCTCACAATCGCTCCCGCCCTTCGCGCAGGAAGCGCACACCAACTTCCTGTTTACGAGTGTTGGGGAAGGGGCGGGGTCAGGGCCAGTTGCCAAGGAGACGGGGCGGGGCGCCGGGAAGCCAACGCCCCTCGGCAGTAAACCGACGCCCCGTGCGGCAGGTCCCAGGACCGGCCCGACCTCCGGCCTGAGGCCGCCCTGACGGCCGAGGACACGCAACCTGGCGGACGGGGTTCACTCCAGGCGGGTGGGGGCGGGGGGAGACACTGGAATGGCCACTGCTCTTCCGCCAGGGGGCGCTCTCCTCTGGCCGCCCCCCCCCCCCCCAGTGCTGTGCGCGCGCCCGTGGCCCTCTCCCCGCTGCCCCGCGGGCGTCCGTCCTGCAGCCCCGAGGACAGTGTCCAGCAGGGCTGCTCCGCCCGCCGCCCCGCCCTGTGATCACCTCCCCGCACCGCCCCCTCCTCAGGAAACGGCCGGAGCCCTCCGCGCAGCGCGCACTGGGCCTCCCTCCTTCACACGCACGGCCCCCGGTGTGTGGGCGCCGCTGTGTCAGACGGGCGAGGGTCCCGGTGACCGCCCAGCGCCTGGCAGGCTCTGCTGGTTAGCGAAGCCCCGAAGTCTGTGCAGCCCCGGGGGCCCACGGGGTGGGTGCACCGTTCAAGGCCCTCCCTCCCGGTCTCTGCTCCTCCAGCCTCCGCTCCTCCAGCCTCCCTCTCCCCTCCAGCCTCCGCCCTCCCTCCCCCCCCCCCCCCCCGCAGGTCCTGGACGGCACACGCTTCCCTGCCTGGATGGCAGCATTGGGAGCCCGCGCACTGAAGTGGTACTGACTGTTTAGGGTACTTTGCCTCCTAATAAAAAGCCCTTACAGAGTGCGGTGCAAGTGCAGGAATGTAGGTAATGATAGGTCCTCCCTTCCTCCAATTGATGGACGGACGTAAACCCCACCTGCAGCCAGACACCCTGAGCACTGAACCACCCATCAGCACCTGCCAAACACCCTGAGCCCTCCATTCCTAAGTCCCTAGGTCCCTAATCATAGGCCTTCCATGAAACCACCAATCAGCGTGTGCTGAGTGCCCTAAGCCCCGTCCCCTATCCTCCCCTTAAAATGTGCTTGTACCCCGGCCCTCGCTCTCTTCCGCTCTCTCTCTGGAAGCAGCCGGCAGTGGTACCCCTCTCTTCAACAAAGCCTGTGTCCTGGCATCCCGGTCTCCGGCCCTCTCTATTTCATCTTTTAGGTAACAGTGTGGGTCCAGCCCTCCGACCGGCCGAGCCGCGTGGGGACCTCGGCGGCCCGGGAACTGGCGCGGCCTCTGGCTGGCCCTGCCATGCCAGTCCGCGTGGGGCGGCCGGGATGGGGCTCCGGAGCCGGTGGGGCTGGAGGTGCCCGCTCGCCCTCTCCCGAGCCTCCCTGCACCACGGGGCTCGGAGCAGAACCAGGGACGCCCCAGTGACGGCCTGAGCACGTGAGCGCGGAAGCCTGCTGGCCGGGGTGGCATCAGCGGCCCCACGCCTGTCCACGGACTCGGACACACGCTCTCCGAGCCTCCGTCTGCTTTCCTGGTGCTCCGGGTTCATGCTGGTTTCTGCCGACACGGGCGCTGGGAGGGTTCAGTGAGTTCAGCCTGTGGTGCACTCTGCACTCTGGTCCACGTGCAGAGCCATCTCGGTGTCAGCTGTTCCTGACCCTGACCCTGACCCTAACCTGGACCCTGACTCTGATGCTAACCTTGTCCTTGACCCTGACCTGACCCTAACCTGGACCCTGCCCCTGTCCTTAACCCTAACCCTAACCATAACCCTCTAAGTGCTGCAAATAGGGTCTCTGCTCCCAACACAGGGCAGCAGTGTGACCGCCTCTGACCCGAGAAAACAGGCTCACGCCCTGCCACGGGGCCCAACCCGCACCTCTCAGCGCTCAGAACGATCCCCACAAAATGGGCCGCACCCCACATCCACCGCAGCGCGGGTCCTTCTTGGTGCTTCTTTCCCGGGGCTTTGGAGAGGCTGTTCCCACTCCAGCCGGCAGGTGGCAGCGTCGTCCACGCGAGCGGAACCGGGGCAGTGCGAGGTGACCCTCAGTGTGGGGTGACCCTCAGTGCGGGTGACCCTCAGTGCGGGGGACCCTCAGTGCGGGGGACCCTCAGTGCGGGGGACCCTCAGTGCGGGGTGACCCTCAGTGTGGGGGGACCCTCAGTGCGGGGGACCCTCAGTGCGGGGTGACCCTCAGTGCGGGGTGACCCTCAGTGCGGGGTGACCCTCAGTGTGGGGGGACCCTCAGTGCGGGGGACCCTCAGTGCGGGGTGACCCTCAGTGCGGGGTGACCCTCAGTGCGGGGGACCCTCAGTGCGGGTGACCCTCAGTGCGGGGGACCCTCAGTGCGGGGTGAAGCCGGACCATCCCGAGGGCGGCTCAGCGGGAGGGGTGCGCACTCAGCTCCCAGGTGTCAGTATTTCACAGGATGGGGCGGGGGCACCTCTGGCATCCGTCTCTGGTGGAAGCGGGTCGTGGGCACGTTGGGGTCCAACAGGAGCCCGAGGTGAGACCTCAGGGCTGCTGGGCGCCGGGTGCTGGGGAGCTCGGATGCCCGGGTGCCCGGGTGCAGGCGGTGGCTCCCTTTGACGGAAGGTCACTCGGTGTGCAGGGTCTGTGGGCCGAGCTCGCCTCCCGGAGGAGCTGCATGGCGGGCAGCCTCTCCCGCCTCCGGGAACCAGGGGGTGGACAGTGACAGGCCTGCATCCAGAGGCCCCCTCCCCGGTGTCTCAGCCAGAACCACGCTGGCCACGCAGTCCTCTCCGGTTGAAGAGCTGCCAGGGCGGCGCCCAGCGGGTGGCACGAACCACGGAGCTCCCAGCGGGTGGGTCCCACGTGGGACAGGCGCATGGGGAAAAGCCGCCTCCAGGCGGGTTCTTGGAAGATGCGGTGGCTGAGCTCAGGACGGGGAGCGTCTGGAGCCCGCCATGGCCGCCCCTGCCGCTGGGATCCCAGCCCGGGGCCTCGGAGCCGGACCCAGCAGGGGGGTCACGAGGTCGCACGGGAGCACCAGCGAGCAGAGTGCTAACCTGCATCTGGGGTGTCAGGGACAGTGACACCTGTGGATGGAGCTGTGTCCCCCCAAACCCATGTGCTGAAGCCCAGAGTCCCAACGTGACTGAGTTCGGGTTTGGGGCCTCTAAGGAGGTGGCTGAGGTTAAATGAGGTCATCAGGGCGGGGCCCTCACCCTCCAGGGCTGGGGCCAGGTGAGAGGAGGAAGAGACCCAGGCGCCGTCTGTCTGTGTCCATCTCTCTGTCTGTCTCTCCTGCCAGGTGAGCACAGCAAGAAGGTTGCCGTCTGAGAGCCTGGGTGAGCCCTCACCAGGTCAGACCCACCTGCCAACCGCTGTCGGCGTGGCGTTCTGTTGGCAGCCTGAGGGACGGAGGCAGTCTCCCCCCGGCGTCAGGGGGTCTCTTAGATTTAGAGGCAGCGCAGTAGGGGTGACGGGAAGGTCCCCAGAGCCAGACCCGTGCTCAGTCCCCGGATCTGCAGCTTAAAGCCGGCGATTTGGGGGCGTTGTCCCCTCCTGACCTCAGGGTGCTGACCACGCTGCAGGTGACAGCAGCTCCCTGACGTCCCCTGCAGCAAGGAGGGCTCAGATATGGGGGGCACCTCCACTGCCTCTGGACAGCTGGGGTCCCCCTCCTAGCCCCGCCCAGCCAGGGGCCCCAGTCTGTAGGAGGGTGGGGCTCCGGAGCCTGCAGGCCACGTGGACACCTGGAGGAGGAGGAGAGCCCTCCCGGTGGGCAGGGCTGCCCATGCCCGCTCCGTGCGGGCTGGGTGGAGGGGGCGTGCAGAGGGGGTGGCTCGGGCTCCACACGATGGCATGTGACCAATGGGGCGCCCAGCTCCTGGCCACCCATTTGGGCCCACCAGCCTGCATGTCCCTTTGGGGACCTTCCGAGGGGACTGGCCTGCCCTAGGGCCCGTGGGGCGCCTGCCCTCCCCCTGGAGCATGTGATTTCCAAACCCAAACGGTTTAAAGCATCCTGGCTCGGCAGCCGGTGCTCAGGGGTTGAGGACGACCTATGACCTATGAACCTATGAACCCGGATGTCACGGTTCGATCCCTGGTCAGGGCTCAGGTCAGGAGAATCCCCAGCTGGGGGCGTGCAGGCAGCAGCCAATCAAGATTCTCTCTCGTCCTCGATGTTTCTATTTCTTTCTCCTCACTTCCCCTCTGAAATCAATAAAAAAAGTATTTTTATAAAGAGCTCTAGCTTGTTTGGCTCAGTGGATAGAGCGTTGGCCAGGGGACTGACGGGTCCTGGTTGGATTCCGGACAAGGGCAAGGACCTTGGTTGCAGGTTCCCCGGACCGGGTCAGGGTGCGCGCTGGACACAACCTGTCCATGCGTCTCCCACGTGGATGTTTCTCTCTCCCTCTCCCTCTCTCTAAACATCAGCGGAAAAATGTCCTCGGGTGAGAATTAACCAGGACAGAGTCCGCCTGCAGCTCCTGGGAGCAGGGCGCTCACCACCCAGGACACGGAACACGGAGGGGATGGGTGCCGGGGTGACGGGCAGGGAGCATCAGGCAGGACGAGCCAAGGCCGCTTCCCCTGGCACCTAAGAGGGAAGGGGGCTGAGGGCTGCCCCGAGGACGGAGTCTGGGTCCGGGTCCGCGGAAAGCAGCCTCTGCCCGGGAGAGGGGAGCCCCCACCGGGGCTCTGAACGGAGGAGCGCGGGGAGCTCCAGGGGCCCGGGCGCACCGGGGCGGGGCAGGCCTGCCTGGAAGGGTCTGAGGACCGGCTGTGGGCGGGGCCGGGTCTAGGGTCCGGCCAGGGGCGGGCCGGGGCCGGGGGGGGGGGGGGGGGGGGGGGGGGGGCATGGCCGGGGTATGGACCGGGCGGGGGCGGGGGACGATGGGGCGGGGCCGGGTCTGGGGTCCGGCGGGCGGGGAGCGAGGGCGGGTCGGGGGCGGGCGGGAGGCGGGGCTGGGGCGGCCGGGGGCGTGTCCGGGGCGCACTGGGGGCGGGGCCTGGTCTGGGGTCCGGCGGGGAGCGGGGGCGGGCGGGAGGCGGGGCTGGGGCGGCCGGGGGCGTGTCCGGCGCGCGCTGGGGGCGGGGCCGGGTCTGGGGTCCGGCGGGGGCGGGGCTGGGGCGGGCGGGCTCGCAGCGCGCGGGGCCGGCGGCTCGGGCGCATTGCGCGGGGAGACCCAGGCGCAGGCTCGGGCCCGGCGGCGGGAAGCGGACGGGCACCTGCAGCGCTCGGGCTCGGGACCCAGCGGACCGGCGGGCACCTGGGCATGGCGCACCGGGCGGCGGCTCGGAGGGCGGGCCCGGGCGGCCTGTGAGCGGGGCCGGCGCGATGCCCGCTCCCCCGGAGGCGCGGGCGGCCGGGCGCGCGGTGGCCCAGGCGCTGGCGCTGCTGCTCGCCGTGGTGCCCGGGGGCGCCCTGCCCCGCCTGCGGCCCGGCCTGTGAGTGGGGGCGGCTTTGTCCGGGGCTGGGCGGGGGGCTCGGTGGGGAGGGGGTGAGCCGGGGTCCGGGGCGGGGGGCGCGGGGGGAGCGGGGGGCCCTCCCCCGGTCCCCGCCTTCCCGCTCCGCTTCCTCCGCGCCGGGGCTGACGGCCAGGCGGACGCCCGAGGTGAGGGGCCTGGGTCCCGCCCAGGCGGTCCGTCCGGAGCCGCTCGGAGGGGTCGAGAGGAAGCGGCCCGTCCACTTCCTTCCCGCGCCGGCCCGGGAGGGGAGGGGGATGAGGGGACGGGGAGGGGGCTGGGGAGGGGGCTGGGGGGACGGGGACGGCGGACGGGGGAGGGGGCCGGCGGGGCGCAGGGGGTGCGGGGTCGCGGGGCCCCAGACGGGCCGCGGACTCAGCTTCTGTGCCAGACACGTGCGCCCGCGGCGTCCAGGCCGGATGGGCAGGAAGCGGGGGTCGGGCCGGACCGGCTGAAAGACGACTCCCAGCCCGCGCTGGCGCCGGGGGCGCGGGGCCAAGCCGGAGGGGGGACGGGCGGGGGCCGCTGGCTGCCCCCAGCCCAGCGCTGGCTCCCGGGGGCGGGCCTGCCGGCGGGAAGGCTGCGGGGGCTCCGGAGGGGCAGGCGGCCCAGGCCTGGGGCAGGGCTCCGGTCCAGCTCCTCCCCAGGAGTGGGGCACCTGGTCACCAGGACCCACGGGCCACCAGGACCCCGGGCCACCAGGACCCCGGGCCACCAGGACCCGGGCCACGCCGGCAGGCGGAGGGCAGGCAGAGTCCACGGCCGGGACCCCCGCCCTGGGCCGTGTGCTCCAGGGAAGGGAGGTCCCTAAGGCCTGCAAAGGGCATAGCCTCTGGGTCGGGGGCCTTCGGGCCAGAAATGTAAGCAGCCCAGGCCCCGTGCAGGTGACCTCTGCCGGACAGCCCTGTCTCCGTGACCCCGGGGAGTCGGCGTGTGGGGGGGAGCCCAGGGGGCCCTCGCCCAGGGCCCGTGTGAGAGCCAGCTCCCTCCTGGGCCCCTGTCCTGAGCCTGGATGTGCCGTGGCCACCTGCTCCCCGGGGCCTGGAGTCTGCAGCAGGCAGGGATCGCGGGGGGCCTGTCTCCTCCTCCTGGACGGGGCAGATGCTGGTTTGGGGCCCCGGTGCGGGGTAACGAGGCCCGGGGGCTTAGAGCCACTGACCCCCGTCCTCTGTCCCAGGCCCCACGTGTGTGCGGAGCAGGAGCTGACCCTGGTGGGCCGCCGCCAGCCCTGCGTGCGGGCCTTCAGCCGCGCGGTGCCCGTGTGGAAGCCGGGCTGCGGGCGGCAGGCCTGGTGCCTGAGCCACGAGCGCAGGTACGTGGTCCCGTGGGAGCGGGGTGGCCGGGCGGGCGTGGTCCTGGCGCCGGGGCCACCTGTGCCCCCCGCCCCTCGTCTGCCTGAGGCCAAGGCCCCCACCCCACCCTCCACCCCCAGGGCTGGGGCCGGAGCACAGCTTCCTCTGGGCGGTGGGGATGGGGACCTGGTAGGAGGGGGGACCCGTGGGGGAGGTGGGCACCCGGCCCAGCCTGTGCGTTCCCGCTGGACTGACCCTGGCCTCGCGCCCGGGCCGGTGTGAAACCTTCTGTTGCTCAAGATTTTATTTCAAAACCAAATGTGGGGAGCGGCTTTGCGCACGCCTCTCCCTCCTCTTCCCTCCATCCCGCTGGGCCCCCATTGCAGGGGGAGAGAGAGAAGGGGGGCGGGGAAGAGGGGGCTCCCTCTCCCTCCTCTTCCCTCCATCCCGCTGGGCCCCCATTGCAGGGGGAGAGAGAGAAGGGGGGCGGGGAAGAGGGGGCTCCCTCTCCCTCCTCTTCCCTCCATCCCGCTGGGCCCCCATTGCAGGGGGAGAGAGAGAAGGGGGGCGGGGAAGAGGGGCTCCGGTTGGGCCGCTCCCAGCCGGAGCTGGCGCTGCTGGGCAGTGGGGGAGGTGGTATTGAATGCGTTGATTGGTGTGGTACCCAGCCTCTCGGAGGTTTGGGGGAGTCTCCTGCACGGTGTGGGGGAGTCTTCCATGAAGCTGCTGTGCCAGGGGCTCTGGGGCCCCTGCCCACAGCCTCGTTTAAATGTCCACCTGCTGTGAGTCCAGAGGAGAGCGAGGGGTCCACGAAGCTGCCATCAGTTCTCGGTGCAGGCGGCTGGCCCCTCCCTCCCGGAACCTGGATGGGCTGGGGACAGTCTGTGGTGGCTGGGGCTGGGGGGACACGGCTGCAGTCGCCCGCAGTTGGAGGCAGGGGTGCGGATGGACACCCTACAGCACATGTGTCAAACACAAGGCCCGCGGGCCAAATCCGTCCCGCCAGGCTATGCAATGTGGCCCGCACCGCGCTGTCATCACTGCACTCCACTGCGTTTCCATCACAATGACAGTTTATGACTGTTCAGTAAACCATTCGGCCCGGGATTTAGGCTGGATTTTAGATTTTGGCCCCTTCTCTGATTGAGTTCGACACCCCTACCCTATAGCATGAGGTGTGCCCCCCCCATGAGGGACATGCCCGTGGAGCCCCGGGCCCTCACCTGTCCCCAGATCTGCCCCCGTGCGTGTGCGTGTGGCGCAGTGCGTGTGCGTGTGGCGCAGTGCGTGTGCAGACGGCACAGTGTGTGTGCAGGTGGTACAGTGTGTGTGCAGTGGTACAGTGCATGTGCAGGCGGCACTGTGTGCAGGCGGTGCAGTGTGTGTGCAGTGGTACAGTGTGTGTGCAATAGCACAGTGCATGTGTAGGCGGCACAGTATGTGTGCAGGTGGTGCAGTGTGTGTGCAGGCGGTGCAGTGTGTGTGCAAGCGGTGCAGTGTGAGCAGGTGGTGCAGTGTGTGAGCAGGTGGTGCAGTGTGAGCAGGTGGTGCAGTGTGTGTGCAGGTGGTGCAGTGTGTGTGCAGGCGATGCAATGTGTGTGCAGGTGGTGCAGTGTGAGCAGGCGGTGCAGTGTGTGTGCAGGCGGTGCAGTGTGTGTGCAGGCAGTGCAGTGTGAGCAGGCGGTGCAGTGTGTGTGCAGGCGGTGCAGTGTGTGTTCAGGCGGTGCAGTGTGTGTGCAGGCGGTGCAGTGTGTGTGCAGACGGTGCAGTGTGTGTGCAGGCGGTGCAGTGTGTGTGCAGGTGGTGCAGTGTGTGTGCAGGTGGTGCAGTGTGTGAGCAGGTGGTGCAGTGTGTGTGCAGGTGGTGCAGTGTGTGCAGGCGGTGCAGTGTGTGTGCAGGCGGTGCAGTGTGTGTGCAGGTGGTGCAGTGTGTGTACAGGCGGTGCAGTGTGTGAGCAGGCGGTGCAGTGTGTGTGCAGGCGGTGCAGTGTGTGTGCAGGCGGTGCGGTGTGTGTGCAGGCGGTGCAGTGTGTGTGCAGGCGGTGCAGTGTGTGAGCAGGCGGTGCAGTGTGTGTGCAGTCAGTGCAGTGTGAGCAGGTGGTGCAGTGTGTGTGCAGGCGGTGCAGTGTGTGTGCAGGCGGTGCAGTGTGTGTGCAGGCGGTGCAGTGTGTGAGCAGGCGGTGCAGTGTGTGTGCAGTCAGTGCAGTGTGAGCAGGCGGTGCAGTGTGAGCAGGCGGTGCAGTGTGTGTGCAGGTGGTGCAGTGTGTGTGCAGGTGGTGCAGTATGTGTGCAGGCGGTGCAGTGTGTGCAGGCGGTGCAGTGTGTGTGCAGGTGGTGCAGTGTGTGTGCAGGTGGTGCAGTGTGTGTGCAGGCGGTGCAGTGTGTGTGCAGGCGGTGCAGTGTGTGTGCAGGCGGTGCAGTGTGTGTGCAGGCGGTGCAGTGTGTGTGCAGGCGGTGCAGTGTGTGTGCAGGCGGTGCAGTGTGTGTGCAGGCGGTGCAGTGTGTGTGCAGGTGGTGCAGTGGGCCGCACCATTCCTCTGGGCCCGGCCTGGGCGCTGGCAGCGGGAGCCGGGCCTCCGGGGCCCCGGGGAAGGCCCCCCGGTACTGGGAGCTGCCGGGTGTCCTCATGTCCGTGTGACCGGGAGGGGGTCTTGTTCCGAGCCGGGGTTTCCTGGGACGGCTCAGGAGGCCCGGGCAGAGCCGGCTCCTCTGGTCTCCGCCACGTGGCAGTCCCACCCGGGGCCCCCAGGGAGCAGCCATGGTGGGGCAGCCATCGGTGGCCGGCTCCACACAGGGCTGCCCTGGCACCCGCTCCAGATGGCAGAGTCCCGCCGCTGTGCCCCCCCTGCCCCCGCCCCCGCCCCCGCCAGGGTCCTGTAGGGCTTCCTCTAACCAGCGCCCAGTTCTGGGGGCCCAGCCGCCTCCCCCTGGGGCTCCTGTGTGCCCGTGTCAGGTCCCCCCGGGGCTCCCGAGCTGAGATCGCTGCCCACCGGAGGCCCCGCACTGCCTCGTCCCGACGTCCCTCCGGCGGCCGAGGCGGTGGCCGCCCGGGGAGGCCGTGCTGCTGGCTCACCCCCTGCCCGCCTCATCTCCCCCTTTATCCCCTGCATTCTCGGGAGGTCCCTGGGAAGCCCCTGAGCCCCCTGCCCCCCTCACCCCATCGGTCCAGACCAGCGTCCGGGCCGCCGCCTCCACCCACCTCCAGCGCCTCAGAGCGCTTCCCCGACGGGCCTCATCCCCACGGCCTCAGCCCCAGGAGCCTCAGCCCCACGGGCCTCAGCCCCACGGCCTCAGCCCCACGGCCTCAGCCCCACGGGCCTCAGCCCCACGGCCTCAGCCCCACGGGCCTCAGCCCCACGGCCTCAGCCCCACGGCCTCAGCCCCACGGGCCTCAGCCCCACGAGCCTCAGCCCCACGGGCCTCAGCCCCACGGCCTCAGCCCCACGGGCCTCAGCCCCACGGCCTCAGCCCCACGGCCTCAGCCCCACGGCCTCAGCCGCACAGCCGCCCGGCAGGAGCACCAGGCTGGGAAAGGGCTGCCCCTCAGTGGGGTGCAGGAAGGAAGGAAGGAAAGAAGGGAGAGAGGAAGGAAGGAGGGAGGGAGGGGAAAGGGGGTGCTCGGGACACAGAGCCCACAGGCAGGCCTCCCACAGGCCCTACAGGGGTACCCGTGCTGCGGCCGGGGGTCCGGTGGCTGGAGGGGAGGCTGGGCTCCAGCCTGGCGGCCCCCTCCTCCTGTGACAGGGCCCCGTGGGCTGGCTCCCTGGTGGAGTGAGGGGTCCGCTCTCGGGGCCTGGGCTGCAGGTGAGGCCTGTCTGCAGGGGACTCGGGAGGGTGGAGTGGCCGATGGCCGGCTCAGCGGGGCTTCCCGGAGGCGCGCGGCCCTGCACGTAGCCCAGGAGAGGATAAATATTTACGACAGAAGCCCAAACCGTCCCGCTGCGGGGTCCCCGCCCGCACAGGGGTTCCTGCCCTCCAGGCGGACAGGCAGACCCCCCCGTCCCCCCAACCCCCGCCGCCGGCAGCGCCCAGCTGGCTTCCTGGAAGCAGCCTGATTGTTTGTGGGGTCCAGGCCCCCGGGGCCACCGGCTCCCAGGCTCCCAGGCTGCCGAGGACAGAGGTCCGAGCCCAGCACCCGGAGCACCCGGAGCGGAGCGGCCTTTGTGTACCGCAGCCCAGCCCTCCGGCCGCTCCCAGCTCAAGGGCTCTTGACCCCGGTGGCTTCTGGCTGGTCACCTTCCTCCCCGCGGTGACCATGGTGGGAGCCGGGAGGGGCGCTGCCCGAAGGCTCAGGCTGCCGGCCAGTCCCCTCCTCTCGGTACCTCCCTGTCCGGTCCTCCCTGCCCCCCTCCTGTCCCTCCTGCCCCCACACCCGCGTGCCCAGGCCACACAGAGCCGGGCCCTCCCCGCAGGGGACCTGAGTGCTGGGCACTGAGTGGCCACCGCTGCCGCTGCCGTAACAGGTGGTGACAGGCGGGCGCTGAGACCACGGGCGCACTCAGGCCTGCAGCTGGAAGCCCCCTGACTGGGTGGGGGTCCCTCTGGAGGCTGGACGGGTGTCGCCCTACGGCAGGGCTGTCAGCCGAGGGCCTGGGCTGGCGGCTACCTCCATCGGCCCCGCTCCGGGGCCCCCTGTCTGAGTCCGCTCCCTCTTCCGTAAGGACCCTGGCTGTGGGACCCAGGACCACCTGGGGCCAGTGTGGCTTCGTCTGGACTCGGTGGCCCTGCCAAGGCCTGTCTCCAGATGAGGTCACATCCCAAGTTCTGGGGCGGGGGCCCTGGACTCTGGGGGTACGGCTCAGCCAGCACAGCAGGAAGAGACGGGCGGGGTGGGCAGGGGCAGGGAGCCTCTGTCTTGCGGTCAGCAGTGAGGGGGAGGTTTGGGGGAGGGGGAGCCAGGGTGGTGCCCGGGTGCCCACCCTCTGGAGAAGCAGGAATGGGCTTTGTGGGTGGGCAGAGACCCTCCCAACGCCCGAGGCCCAGCTGAGGAGCTGGGATAGAACCCCGGGGTGCGGGTGCAGCTGGGTGGGGTGCTGTGTGGGCCAGGCCCCCTCCGCCTCCCCCCGGCCTCTGCTCCAGGCTGTGGCCCAGGGGGTGTCCCTGGCTGGGGGTGGGTGCCCACTGGCTGTTCCACCAAGATGCCTGCCCCCGGGCCGTGGATGGCAGAGACAGGGCGAGGCCGGGCGGGCAGGCTGCCGGGCTGGCTGGGTTCCCGGGGCCCAGCCTGGAGCCCCCCAGCTCCCAACCTCCGTGAGGGCCGCACCCCACATCTGAGGAGGAACCAGCCGGGGACCGAGGCCACTCCTGCCTCCAGGCCGCCCCCCCCCCCCCCCCGTAAGCCCTCTGCACCCCTCCCCCCGGGCCGTGCACCGAGTGCACTCGGTCCTCTGTTACGTGGGAGCTCCTGGCAGCCGTCCCGCTCAGCACACCCTCCTCCAGTGCCGAGGGCCTCCCTGTGGGCCCAGCGCGGGCTGTGGGCTCCGTGGTGAGCCAGGGGCCGGACGGGCACTGCCAGGCACGGCCCGCCAGAACTGGCACCCCCCTGCCTGGGGCCATTGTGGAAGCGGGTCTTGCTCCTGAGCTGACCCCCCAGCCCTCCCAGACCTTCCGAGTGGGGCCCGATGCCCCCCCCCCCGCAGGTGCCTGGCACCAGCTGGAGCTGGGCTGCCCGGGGGAGGGGCGCAGGCCATCTGGGCCCAGTGCTGTGGCGTGCACCCCGGCCGCCTCGGACCCAGGCCTCCCACCAGCTCCCGCGTGAGCTGGCCAATTGAGAGACTGCAGTGCGTGTGTGTGTGTGTGTGTGTGTGTGTGTATGTGTGTATGTGTGTGTGTGGTGTGCGAGAGAGAGAGAGAGAGAGAGAGAGAGGTGTGCCTGTGTGTGTGTGTGCAGTGCGTGTGTGTGTGTGTGTGCGCGTGTGCACGTGTGTATGTGTGTATGTGTGTGTGTGGTGTGCGAGAGAGAGAGAGAGAGAGAGATGTGTGCCTGTGTGTGTGTATGTGTGTGTGTGAAGTGTGTGTGTGCGTGTGTGTGTGTGTGTGCGTGTGCACGTGTGTATGTGTGTATGTGTGTGTGTGTGGTGTGCGAGAGAGAGAGAGAGAGAGAGAGAGAGAGAGGTGTGCCTGTGTGTGTGTGTGTGTGTGTGCAGTGTGTGTGTGTGTGCGCGCACACACGCACACACGCACACATGCGCGGGGTGGGGGAGGGGTGGTGACAGCCGGACGCAGTGGATGAGATGCACCAGCGTGGCCCTCCTCCCGTCTCTTCTAGAACCGTCTACTACGCGGCCTACAGGCAGGTGTACGCCATGGAGGCCCAGCCCGTGCTCAGATGCTGCCCGGGGTGGAGCCAGCAGCCCGGCGACCAGGGCTGCCTCTCCGGTGAGTGCCCCTCTCGTGCCCCCTGTGGAAGCAGACCTGCCTCCGAAGGCCCCTCTCCTGGCACTGCCCGCCGCCCCCTCAGCTGCCTGGGGTGCAGCGCCCTGTTTTCTGCACCTGGTGGGCTGCCCAGCCGCGTCCAAGCCAGTGCCTCCTGCCAGTGCCTCTTGACCTGGCGATCACACAGGAGGAGCTGGGACCGCCCTGCGCCCATGTGGCCGGCGGGAGGCAGCTGGCGGCTGGGGCTGGCACCATCTGGAGGGGCTCTCTGAGCCTGGTCCGGGGTCAGTGTCTACCGCCGAGCCCACATCCTGCCTCCAGAAGGCCGGGCTGGGCACAGGGCCCTGGACTCGGGGGGCACGGGGCCCTGGACTCGGGGGTCGGGGCCCTGGACTCGGGGGGCACGGTGCCCTGGCCTCAGCCCTGTCTGCCCAGTGGAGTCGGCGCCCCCACTCCTGGTGGATGCAGCGGCGGGGAGCGTGGTGCCAGGCGCAGGCAGGCGCGAGCTGGAGGCTCTGAGGGGTGCGGCTGGACTGGAATCGGGGCGTCGGGCCCAGTGGGCGGCTGGGACCCCCCTGCTTCGTGGAAGGGTGGGGCTCACGGCCGAGGCGCGCGCAGGAGGCTGCCTGGCCTCACCAGCGCCCCCCCCCCCCCCCCCCGGAGAGGCAGCCTGACGCCTGGTGACCCTGACACTGACACACACCCCGTGCTGTGAGGGCCTGGGCCGGCCCCCACGTCCAGGGCCTCGCGGGGTGGCCGGGACGGACCGGGCGTCAGGGGCCGTGTCGCCGCCGTCCTCCTCGCAGAAGCCGGGGAGAGGGACCTGAGGTGACCTGCAGGGCGGGGGGAGGAGGGGGGAGGAGGGTGTTTTCTCAGGAGAGGAAATGAATGACTCTCCGGAAGGGAGTGAGGGGCGGAGGGCGGGTGGACGCTGGCCAGCTGCCCTGGGGGCGCCCGCCCCAGCCACCCCGTCCGTCCGGTCTGAGCAGCGCGGGGGCTGCTGTGGGCCGGCCTGGCGGTGGGGAACAAAGGGGGCCGTTGAGTGGGCGCCGGCAGACATCAGAGCCGGGCCCGCTCGGCTCCGCTGGGGGCTCCTCGGCCTCAGACACAGTGACGGGGCTGTGGAGTGGGGGGCTGGCCGTCCCCCGGGGGGGACAAGGCGCGGAGGCGGCGGGCTCCTGGCGGGGTTGGGACCAGGCAGGTCCTGGCGTGCCCAGCAGCCGGCTGTGTCTGGTTTCTCCCGGCCCTTGCAGTGGCCGTCCGGGTTGGGTGGGAGGTGCAGCCGGGCGGCCGGCCTGCAGGGGTGGGGTGCAGGGTGGGGACTCAGGATGGGGCACAGAGGTGTGGGTGTAGGAGTGGGGATGTGGGTTTTGGCAGGTGGGGACTGAACCCCCTGAGGATGGCAGAACCTGAGGTTCCTCATCCCGGGGTGGGGCCAGGGCTGGCACCCCCCCCAGGCCAGCCTGGCCTCCAGAGGGGAGAGCTGGGCTGGCAGAGGGTGGGGGGTGGGGAAATGGTCTCAGTCACCAGACCTGGCCTTGGAGGTCCAGGTTGCCACATCTGCCAGGAGACATGGGACAGGGTGCCCTACGGGACGGGTGCCCACGGGACAGGGTGCCCACGGACAGGGTGCCCACGGACGGGGTGCCCATGGGACAGGGTGCCCACGGGACAGGGTGCCCACGGACAGGGTGCCCATGGGACAGGGTGCCCACGGACGGGGTCCTCACAGGACAGAGTGCCCACGGACAGGGTGCCCACGGACGGGGTGCCCACGGACGGGGTGCCCACAGACGGGGTGCCCACGGACGGGTGCCCACGGGACAGAGTGCCCACCGGACAGGGTGCCCACGGACGGGTGCCCACGGACGGGGTCCTCACAGGACAGAGTGCCCACGGACGGGGTCCTCACAGGACAGAGTGCCCACGGACGGGTGCCCACGGACAGGGTGCCCACGGGACAGGGTGCCCACGGACGGGGTCCTCACAGGACAGAGTGCCCACGGACAGGGTGCCCACGGACGGGGTGCCCACGGACGGGGTGCCCACGGACGGGGTGCCCACAGACGGGGTGCCCACGGACGGGTGCCCACGGGACAGAGTGCCCACCGGACAGGGTGCCCACGGACGGGTGCCCACGGACGGGGTCCTCACAGGACAGAGTGCCCACGGACGGGTGCCCACGGACAGGGTGCCCACGGGACAGGGTGCCCACGGACAGGGTGCCCACGGACAGGGTGCCCACGGGACAGAGTGCCCACGGGACAGGGTGCCCACGGGACAGGGTGCCCACGGACAGAGTGCCCACGGGACAGGGTGCCCACGGACGGGGTGCCCACGGACGGGGTGCCCACGGGACAGAGTGCCCACGGACAGGGTGCCCACGGGACAGGGTGCCCACGGACGGGGTCCTCACAGGACAGAGTGCCCACGGACGGGGTGCCCACGGACGGGGTGCCCACGGACAGGGTGCCCACGGGACGGGTGCCCACGGACAGAGTGCCCACGGACAGGGTGGGACAGTGGGCCCACGGACGGGGTGCCCACGGGACAGGGTGCCCACGGGACGGGTGCCCACGGACAGAGTGCCCACGGACGGGGTGCCCACGGGACAGGGTGCCCACGGACGGGGTGCCCACGGGACGGGTGCCCACAGGACGGGTGCCCACGGACGGGGTCCCCACGTGTATCCGGGACTTGGAGCTTGGTGTCCTGGGCTGGTAGTTTTAAAATCCCCGTGTTTAGGGGGATTTTCTTGTCTGGGCGTTGGGCTCTGTCTGTCTGTCTGTCTCCGGGAAAAGCCCGAGTGTCTTCGTGTCAGGCCCGGGGCGGGCTGGCAGGCGCCGGGTCTCGCCCTGGGTGGGTGCGCCCCGGTCCCGTCTGGGGTCCAGCAGCACCGCGGGGGGTCCTGGAGGGGCGCGGTCCGAGGCTGCAGGGCTGACAGGCTGCAGGGCTGCGGCTGGTTCTTTGCTGTCCAGTCGGACACAACTCGGCTCCGAGGGCGCTGGCTCCTCCTTCCCTCCCTGCCTCGTCCCCTCGTCAGTGTCCGCTGCGCTGTGAGCACTGGGTGCACAGGGGCCGCTGGCAGTGCCTGTCGGGGTGCCCGCGTCACGGGGAGGCAGGCTGCCGGCCGACACCGGGGCTGGGACTTGGAGCCAGGCCACGGGGGCACCTGTGCGGTGGAGGTGAGGGCGGGAGCGGGTGTGGAGCAGGCAGGGGGACATGGGGGCGGGAGGGAGGGGACGGTCAGTGCTGGCCGCTGGCGGTGTCTGGAGCTGCCCCTCTGCCGGGAGTGCTTCCCGCCGTGAGCCAGCCTCTGCCTGTGGCTCAGGCTCAGACACCCTCGCTGGCCGAGTGAGCAGGTGCGGAGCCTGCGCTGCCCGGTGGGCATCTGGTGCTGCTTGGCCCCTCCTGGCTGCCATGCCGACGGGCATCAGGGCTCAGGGTTCCCTGGGCTCCCCAGGCTGGTGAAGGGCCCACGTGGGCAGCAGTGGGGTGGTGGGGGGCTGGGTCAGCCGGCTCTGCTTCCACCTTCCCAGTTCTTACCCTCTGCCCTCCCCTCGTCTCTTCCTCATCCCTCCAGCCCTTCCAGACCCTTCTCTCTGTCCCAGGCCAGGCTCTCTGTGTGGTCAGGCTGGTGCAGGCGGGTGGCCCAGGAGTAGCTGACACCTGCTGCCCGTCCCCTGCACCTGCCACGTGGCTTCCCGCTTCCCGGGGCCTGGAGGCGCAGGCGTGTGCGTGCTGGTGCCGGGCCGGCGGTGCTGGTGCCGGCGGTGCTGGTGCCAGCGGTGCTGGTGCTAGGTCAGCGGTGCCGGTGCCGGTGCCAGGCCGACGGTGCCGGGCCGGCGGGGGAGAAGGCCTGGGGCCCGAGGAGAGAAAATAGCAGGAAGCTCGTCATGGTGTTGAGGCTCCTCGGAGAGGCCCTGGGCAGCACGGTGACCGGGGGTGACTGGAAGGAAAGGTGCTCCCGGGCGGCCGTGGTGTGCGGCCGGCCTCCCGGCACAGTGGCCTCGCGCACACGCCCGGGGGCACCGGCCCTCTGCTGTTGGGTTCACGTGTCCCTGCTCAGCGATCTGATCGCCACCGCTGTCCCAGCTGGCTAACAGGTTTTTAAAAACATCCTTTTACTGATGTCAGAGGGAAGGGAGCGGGAGGGAGAGAGACATCAACAAGGAGAGAGAATCGCCGATCGGCTGCCTCCTGCACGCCCACACTGGGGGATCGGGCTGTAACCCGGGCCTGAGCCCTGACCGGGAATCGAACCCTGACCTTCTGGCTCATAGGTCAGTGCTCAACCCCTGAGCCACTGACGAGGCTGGACAACAGATTTTGCCTGGCCCCTCCGGGTGTTTCAGCCAGAGCAGCCCTGGGTCCCAGCTCCCCCTCCTCCAAGAACAAGGGGAGCAGCTGTACCCCCAGGCCCCGCACGCAGACCCTGGGGTGGACACAGCCCTGACTCCGTGCAGCTGGCTCAGCCTGGGCGGGAGGCTGCGGAGGGAGGCAGCGGGATGGAGGGGTGCCGGGGAGGAGGGGTGCCGGGATGGAGGGGTGCGGGGATGGAAGGGTGCGGGGATGGAGGGGTGCGGGGATGGGGGGGTGCGGGGATGGGGGGGTGCGGGGATGGAAGGGTGCGGGGATGGAAGGGTGCTGGGATGGGGGGGTGCTGGGATGGGGGGGTGCTGGGATGGAGGGGTGCGGGGATGGAAGGGTGCGGGGATGGAGGGGTGCCGGGGATGGGGGGGTGCGGGGATGGAGGGGTGCGGGGATGGAGGGGGTGCCGGGGATGGGGGGGTGCGGGGATGGGGGGGTGCCGGGGATGGGGGGGTGCCGGGGATGGGGGGGTGCGGGGATGGAGGGTGCTGGGATGGGGGGGTGCTGGGATGGAGGGGTGCTGGGATGGGGGGGTGCTGGGATGGGGGGGGGGTGCCGAGGAGGAGGGGTGCCGAGGAGGAGGGGTGCCGAGGAGGAGGGGTGCCGGGGATGGGGGGGTGCTGGGATGGAGGGGTGCCGGGGATGGGGGGGTGCTGGGATGGAGGGGTGCTGGGGAGGAGAGGTGCTGGGATGGAGGGGTGCTGGGATGGGGGGTGCCGGGGATGGGGGGGGTGCCGGGGAGGAGGGGGACCGGGGAGGAGGGGTGCCGGGGAGGAGGGCTGCCAGAGCCAGCTCCAGGGGTGCATGCGAGGGCCTGGGGAAGGAGGGGCCAGCGTCCAGGAAGCACTCCCACAGGGTAAGCAGTCCCTGCAGGACTTCTCAGAGCCTTTGTTGTGCTAATGAGCACAGTTGGGAGACAGAGGGTGGTGTGTTCCCGGAATTCTCTGAAAAGGAAGGAGTGAGTGAGACAATAGGACAGTGTCCCCAGCACAGCTGGGAAGCGCGGCCAGGTGATGCCTGGCAGAGTCCATGGCTTCTGTGCAGGCGCCGGCCAGGGTGGAGGGCGCCGGTGAGCAGAGACCAGCACCCCTGTTCCCGGGGCCTCGTCCTGTGGAGGGCAGGCGGGCGGCGGGAAACTCCGGAGAGAGACGAGGGACGGGGCGCAGAGCTGCTCCGTGGGGCCCGCGGAGGGCTGCCCCTGCCCCCAGCCCGGCGGCCTGTGACTGGGCGGCGGGGGCCTGGCGCTGCCTGGGGAAGAGGTCCCGGCGGAGGGAGGGAGGGTGAGGCCATAGGTGCTTGGTGCGGTCTCGGCCACCGCCCGCCGGGCCCCTGGGCCAGCCCATCCACCGCGCCTGTGGCCTCAGCGCCAGCAGCCTGTTCTCCCTGCCCCGTGGCCTCCTGGCCGCCCTCTGCCTTCCTGCCTCCGCGCTCACTTTCCCTTTTCCGTTCGGGACCGTCCCCCGCCCCGCCCCGCCCCGTGGGAACGGGCGAGTGGCCGCCCGCAGCCGGGCCCAGCCGCACCTTCCGGTCGGGGCTCAGCTCGGTGCTCTCTGCTCTCCTTTCGCTCCGCGTGGGCCTGCTGCCCCCGCATCCCAGTCTGCATCCGGCTCCTGCCCCCGAGCTCTAGACACTGACTCTCCCGCAGCCTTGCCCGCCCTCAGTTCTTTCATTGCCTCCCTCATTCATTCACTCATTCACTCATCCATTCACTCATCATTCCCTCCCTCATTCATTCACTCATTCACTCATCATTCCCTCCCTCATTCATTCACTCATCCATTCACTCATTCACTCATCCATTCACTCATTCACTCATCCATTCACTCATCATTCCCTCCCTCACTCATTCACTCATCCATTCACTCATCCATTCACTCACTTATCCATTCACTCACTCATCCATTCACTCATTCACTCATCCATTCACTCATCATTCCCTCCCTCATTCATTCCCTCATTCATTCACTCATTCACTCATCATTCCCGCCCTCATTCATTCACTCATCCATTCACCCATTCACTCATCCATTCATTCATCCATTCACTCATCATTCCCTCCCTCATTCATTCACTCATCCATTCACCCATTCACTCATCATTCCCTCCCTCATTCACTCATTCACTCATCCATTCACTCATCCATTCACTCATCATTCCCTTCCTCATTCATTTCACTCATCCATTCACTCATTCATTCCCTCCCTCATTCATTCCGTCATTCATTCATTCCCTCCCTCATTCACTCACTCATTCACTCATCCATTCACTCATCATTCCCTCCCTCATTCATTCACTCATTCACTCATCCATTCACTCATCATTCCCTCCCTTATTCATTCACTCATTCACTCATCCATTTACTTATTCCTTCCCTCATTCATTCACTCATTCATTCACTCCCTCATTCACTCACTCATTCACTCATCATTCTCTCCCTCATTCATTCACTCATCCACTCATCCATTCACTCATTCATTCATCCATTCACTTATCATTCCCTCCCTCATTCATTCACTCATTCACTCATCCATTCACTCATTCACTCATCCATTCCCTCATCATTCCCTCCCTCATTCATTCACTCATTCATTCATTCATTCAATCACTCATTTATTCACCCGCTTATCTATTCACTCATTCATTCACTTGATCACTCACTAATTCACTCATTCATTCATTCATTTCCTCATTCATTCATTTCTTTACTTTCATTCACTCATTCGCCCACTCATTTGTTCACTCATTCACCCATCATCCATTCACTCATTCATTAACTCATTTATTCATTCATCACTGTTCATTTATTCATTCATTCACTCATTCAGTCACTCATTCATTTATTCATTCACTCATTCATTCACTCACTCATTCGCTTATCCACTGGTTCACTCATTCAGCAGCATTTACTCCACATCTGAGTGTCTCTGAGGAACGTGGAGGTGAGGAAGGTGGTGGGACGGGTGGCTGCTCTCACCCTTTCGCGTGAGGGGCCGTGAAACGAGCTGCTGACCCCTAAGTGCTTTGGTCCGTCGGGGGTCGCTGTGGGGGGGAAGCCACCAGCGGGTCCACTGGACCTTGACCACATGCGGCCATGGGGGGGCAGTGTGTGAGCCAGGGCAGCAGAGCTGGGTCCAGTGACCTCCCGGTTTGGGGGCTCAGCCCTCGGGTGTGGTCCTGGCTGCGGTGGGGAGGCCTGGGTCCCTTCCACGCCTGAGCCCTCTCCCATGGGTGACTTTGTGGTGGGGCTGGGACGGGTCCTGCAGGCGGGCTCACGGCCTCCTCTCTCTCCGCAGCCGAGTGCGGCGCCGGCCTCTGCCTTCACGGCGGCAGCTGCGTGCCCGGCTCCGCCGCGCGGTGCCGCTGTGCCCCCGGCTTCCAGGGCGCCCGCTGCCAGTTCGGTGAGTGCACCTCCACCGGCTCTGGGCTCCGGCCGAGGGCGGGCCTGTGTGGGCCAGAGCCCGGTGACTGTCGTTCTCCAAGGCCCCCCAGTGACTCAGACGCCTCTGCGCCCATCACTTAGGGCCCCTGTGCCCTCTGTGGGTGGGACAGCAGCGCAGGGACGGGCAGGGACCGTGGGGTCCCCGGGCGGTCAGGACGGCTCGGCCCAGGGTCTCCGAGCTCCGTGTCCTCGGTGTACGCCCAGGAAACCGAGTTTGGGGAGATGCCAGCGGGCGCTCCGGTCGGACGGGCGTAGAGAAGCGTGGGGGCCGGCGTTTCCGTCCGGGCGCACCCGCGGAGGAACTGCCAGGAGCTCCTGTGAGCGCCCGTGGCCGCGGTGCTGGGGGCTGGCCCGGGGCTGGCAGGAGTGACGGGCGGGAGCTGGCTCTCAGGCCCCCCGCCCCACGCCCACACTCCCGGGTTCCGGGGCTTTGAACTGGCCTCTGGGAGCCCGGGCTCCTTCCGGGTGGACGGCGGGTGGACGGCGGCCGCATCCTGAGCGGAGCGTCCACACTGCGGGCGCCCAGCGGGCAGCCGGGGACCAGGAAGTTGTGGGGGCGGGAGCCGGCAGGAGGGGGGGCCTGCACGGGGCTGGTCCTGCGTGTTCATGAGCGGTGCCCGCCCAGCGCCCGGCCGAGCTGGACAGGGGCCGGCTGGCCGCTCCGATGGCTCCGGAGCTTCTGTTCTGAGCTGGGCTCCGTGTCCGGTGGGTGGGGTGGGGTGAGGAGGGGATGGACTCCCGGAGGTTGAGTCCCCGCTCGCCTGTCTGGGCTGCCCACGGTGACCACCCGGAGCGGGCTGGGCCGGCGGGATGGCCACGCCTCCTCGCGGGCTGTCCTTAGGGGGCGGGGGCCAGCGGTGCTCCGAGGACCTTCCGGCTCTTTCCGGCTGCCAGAGGGGGTTCCGTCGGAAGCACAGCCCTGGGGCCGGACCGGGCTGCAGCTGGGCTGTGGGTCTGTGCGTGTGTGTGTGTGTGTGTGCGCGCGCGTGTGTGCACGTGTGTGTGCCTGTGTGTGTGTGCGTGTGTGTGTGTGTGTGCCTGCGTGTGTGTGCCTGTGTGTGTGCGCGCGTGTGTGCGTGTGTGCGCGCGTGTGTGTGCCTGCGTGTGTGCGTGTGTGCGTGTGTGTGTGTGCCTGCGTGTGTGCGCGCGTGTGTGTGCCTGTGTGTGTGCGTGTGTGCGCGCGTGTGTGCGCGTGTGTGCGCGCGTGTGTGCCTGTGTGTGTGTGTGTGGGGGGGTGCACGGGCGCAGAGGGGTGGCTCTGGAGCGGCCTGTCCTCGGTCACGTCCTCTGAGGAAGTGGCAGCGACACCCGAGGGCCCGGCCCCACCGTCCCCTCCCGCCGGCCTGGCCCGGAGCCGCTCTGAGCCACGGGCCTAGCTGTGGTGTGAGGGGCGGGGGAGTGTGGGCACCGTGTGGGGTCAGCCACCCCTTCCTCCCCTCAGCCCCCTGGCGGCCTGGCCCCTCCGTCCGGGCCGGTCTCCGTCCAGCCCCCTGGCGGCCTGGCCCCTCCGTCCGGGCCGGTCTCCGTCCAGCCCCTGGCGGCCTGGCCCCTCTGTCCGGGCCGGTCTCTGTCCAGCCCCCTGGCGGCCTGGCCCCTCTGTCCAGGCCGGTCTCCGTCCAGCCCCCTGGCCCCTCCGTCCGGGCCGGTCTCCGTCCAGCCCCCTGGCCCCTCCGTCCGGGCCGGTCTCCGTCCAGCCCCCTGGCCCCTCTGTCCGGGCCGGTCTCCGTCCAGCCCCCTGGCCCCTCTGTCCGGGCCGGTCTCCGTCCAGCCCCCTGGCCCCTCTGTCCAGGCCGGTCTCCGTCCAGCCCCCTGGCCCCTCTGTCCCGGCCGGTCTCCGTCCAGCCCCCTGGCCCCTCTGTCCAGGCCGGTCTCCGTCCAGCCCCCTGGCCCCTCTGTCCAGGCCGGTCTCCGTCCAGCCCCCTGGCGGCCTGGCCCCTCTGTCCAGGCCGGTCTCCGTCCAGCCCCTTGGCCCCTCTGTCCAGGCCGGTCTCCGTCCAGCCCCCTGGCCCCTCTGTCCGGGCCGGTCTCCGCGCGCCGGGCATGTTAACTAACCCCGGCGATAATTGGTTCCAGTTTTGAAAATAAAAACCACGTTTTTCCCTGGTTCCCCAAATTCTCTCACTTGAACAAAAGCGGGGGGGGGGGGGGGGATCTGCTAGTGGATGGTGAGCAGAGGGGGAGGGAGCCCCAAAGAGCCCTGGCCCCCCCCAGGCTCCCCTCCAGAGGGCTGCCTCCCGCTCTGCTCCACTCCCACTTCCCCCCTCCCTCCCGCCCTAACCCTTCCCTCTCCCTCCTCTCCCCTCCCCCCTCCCCCTCCCCCCATCCCCCTCCCCCCTCCCCCTCCCACTTCCCACCTCCCAGCCCAGGGCTTTCTGCCTGAGAGCACCAGAGGCCTGTGTGGGCGGCTTGGAGGTGGAGGTGGGGTGAAGGGTGGAGGTGGGGTGAAGGGTGGAGGTGGGTGCGGGTGGAGGTGGGGGTGGGGGTGAAGGGTGGAGGTGGGGGTGCGGATGGAGGTGGGGTGCAGGGTGAGGGTGGAGGTGGGTGTGGATGGAGGTGGGGGTGCGGGTGGAGGTGGGGGTGCGGGTGGAGGTGGGGGTGCGGGTGGAGGTGGGGGTGTGGGTGGAGGTGGGGGTGCGGGTGGAGGTGGGGGTGCGGATGGAGGTGGGGTGCAGGGTGAAGGATGGAGGTGGGTGCGGATGGAGGTGGGATGCGGGTGGAGGTGGGGTGCGGGTGGAGGTGGGGGTGTGATGGAAGTGGGGGTGCAGGGTGAAGGGTGGAGGTGGGTGCAGATGGAGGTGGGGTGCAGGGTGAAGGGTGGAGGTGGGTGCGGATGGAGGTGGGGTGCGGGTGGAGGTGGGGGTGAAGGGTGGAGGTGGGGTGCGGGTGGAGGTGGGGGTGTGATGGAAGTGGGGGTGCAGGGTGAAGGGTGGAGGTGGGTGCGGATGGAGGTGGGGTGCAGGGTGCAGGGTGGAGGTGGGGTGTGGGCGGATGATGGGGAGACACTGGGCGTGGAGCCACGAGCAGGAGGTGCCAGGCGGGCGGAGCCCCGGCTTGGGCTCAGGGCGCCCGTTTCTGACCGGCCCTGAGGCTGCCCTTGGGCGCTGCTGCTGGTCTGGGCGCCCGCCCTGGGCACACCCGCCCGGGCCTGGCTGTCCGCTCCCGGGGGGGCACTCACCAGGCCCCTCGCCCCCTTCTGCTCGCTCCCCGCCCGAGAGGGCAGAGCAGCGGGGGGCTTTGCACACGCCCCATCGGCTGCCCGCACCCGCCTTTGAGGACAGACCCCGTCTCCCGGGTGCAGACCGCCGGGGTGAGAGGGGGAGAGGGCGGCTGTGACAGGCACCCCTATGGGCAGGTGCCCCTCTGCCCCTCAGCCTGGCCGCCCCGCCCGCCAGGCGCTGGGGCGGGAGGGAGGGCCAGGCGCTGGGGCGGGAGGGAGGGCAGGAGGCCGCTGGGCCTGGGTCCCGGGGCGGGGCGGGCTGCAGACGGTCTGCTCCCCACTGGGGCGGCGAAGTGGGGGGACAGCCCACACCAGAGCCCAGCTGCTCTCCCGGCTCGGAGCGCGGCTGGCGGGGCCTGGTGTGGCCGGTGAACGTTAATTGCCAGGTCCCCCCCCCCCCCCCGCCCCCACAAAGGCGCTCTGTCCTCCGGGGGCTGTGCCCCGGCTGCTGTGCGCAGAGGGGGCGTGGGCCTTCCCGCCTGGATTCGGGGACGATCTGGGCGGGAGGCGGCAGACGCCAGGCCGCCAGGCGTGCAGGGCTGAGGCTCCCCTGCCTCCCCCCACGGCCCCGGCTGGGCGTCTCCCATGGCCCCCGCCCTCTGGGGCCTGCTGTCCAGGCAGGATAGAGGCTCAGGGTCAGAGGTCACGGCCTCATCCTCTCCAGGGCTCCCCTGGCTAGAGGCCCCGCCCTCTGTGTGTGAAAGGATCCTGTGACCTGTGACCCTGCCCCTGGGCCACCTGTCCTGCCCGCCTGCTCCACGCCCCTTCCCAGCCTGGGTGAAAAGGCCCCGCTGGCTGGGGGCCTCCTCTCCCCGCCCCCAGGCTGGGTGCCGGGGTCAGTGATGGCGCAGTTGGCGGGCAGCGCGGCCGGGCAGGCTGGGTGCCGGGGACGCTGCGTGGGGTTGGGGAGCTTGGTGGTGCCTGGGGGCCCGTGCTGCCCAGGGTCCCTGTGGGGGTCCCAGGCCGCCTCCGGCCGGGGGGATGGTCACTGAGGGTCTGTCGGCCTCGGCCAGACCTTCCCGGGCAGCCGGGCGGAGTGGAGCCAGGCAGCGGCTCTGCTCTCAGCGGAAAGACCGGGCCCAGCGAGGGGAGGGGGCGCTGCGCTGTCCTCGCCTCCCTCCCGGCCTTCCCCGCCGGGGGCAGAGGGCAAAGTCACCCCGGAGGCCCCATGCTTATGGCGCTGGTGGTGAGCCCGGCCGGGACATCCTCACCAGGCGGCCGGCCCCCGGCCTTCCATGAGAGGGAGGGCAGCGGGGGGCTGGCGGGCAGCGTGGACGGGGTATCCCTGTGCTGGGGAGACCCTCCCGGCCCCCGAGAAAGCGTGTGTGAAGAGCAAGCCTCCCTGCTCCCGCCAGAGTGGGCGCTGCCTGTCAGACCCGCCCCCCCTCCAGAACCTGCCCCCAGCCCGGACCCCTGTGCCTGGCACACACCCACCCGGCCCTTAGTGCAGCACCAGGGCAGGCTGTGGGGCGCCCTGGGGTGACCCTGCAGGGCGGCCCTCCCGCCTCCCCCGCTGCTGTGCCCACAGCCTGGGGGAGGTGGGCGCTGGCCGCCCGGAGCCTGGCTGGCGGGCAGAGTCCGGGGGACGTGATGCTGGCCGCTCTCAGGGTCCCGGCCACACCCATCTCCCTCTCCGCCCGTCTCCCTCTCCGCCCGTCTCCCTCCCCGCCCGCCTCCCTCCCAGGGAGATTAATGAGGGTCCTGAGGGGGAGCCTGGTCCCGGCCTCCAGGCTGCATTCCAG